TATTTTTTTAATTAAGTAAACTTCTTAAAAATTTTGAAATAATTATAGATTCATAGGCAATTTTAAGAAATAATACAGAACAATCCCATCACCCTTTGCCCAATAGATCCCAATGGCAACATCTTGCAAAACTGTAGTACAGTATCACAGCCAGGATATCAACATTGATACAACCAAGTTAAAAATACAGAGTTCAACTGGGTTCAACTTACACCAGAGATACAAATGTAGTGATCCAAAGGGGCATGTGCACCCCAATTATAGCAGCAATGTCCACAATAGACAAACTATGGAAAGAGCCTAAATGTCCATCAACAGATGAATGAATAAAGAAGATGTGGTATACCCACACACACACACACACACACAAACACACACACACACAATGGAATATTATGCAGCCATCAAAAAATTGAAATCTTGCCATTTGCAACAACGTGGATGGAACTAGAGGGTATTATGCTAAGTGAAATAAGTCAATCAGAGAAAGACAATTATCATATGATCTCACTAATGTGTGGAATTTGAGAAACAAGGCAAAGGATCATAGGGGAAGGGAGGGAGAAATGAAACAAGACGAAACCAGAGAGGGAGACAAACCGTAAGAGACTCAATCTCAGGAAACAAACTGAGGGTTGCTGGATTTGAGGGGGCTGGGAGGGATGGGGTAGCTGGGTGATGGAATTGGGGAGGGTATGTGCTATGGTGAGCGCTGTGAATTGTGTAAGACTGATGAATCATAGACCTGTTACCCTGAAACAGACATTATATGTTAATAAAAAACATACAGAGTTCTTCCACCATCATAAGGATCTCTCATGTTGCCCTTTTGTAACCATATCCAATTCCCTCTTGCCCTCATCTGCTTCTGAAACCCTGGCCACTACTGTCCCCATTTCTATAACTTTATCATTCAACAATGTTATATAAATGGAATCAAACAGAATATAACTTTTGGGGATTGGCTTTTTTCACTCAGTATAATTCTCTGGAGAGTCATCCAGGTTGTGTGAATCAACCATTTGTTTCTTTGTATTGCTGAGTAGTGGGATGTTTGTGTAACCATTCACCTTCAACAAGCCATCCAGGCAATTCTGATGCATGTTTGTTTTTGAGAACCACTGATCTCTAGACAAAGAACTTAAAAAGATAGGGAAGAAAAAAGGCATTTTTCTACTTCCACTTCTTACTCACTGATCTTATGGGTCTTCTCAGAGGTATGGGAAACCACTTCCTTTCATCTTCACCACTACTGTTAACACACTACTCTGTATCCTGCTTATGGTTGCTATACATTTCTTAAGGGATTGATGTATTTATTTAAGAAATATTTATTACGGTACCTCCTAGTAACTGTTCTAGGCACCATGAAGACAGCATTGGAAAAGGTATACAGGTCCCTGCTCATGAATAACTTTCAGGACAGTGAGGCCACAGGAGACAATAAACAAAGTCAGGTCAAAATAAATACCATCTGATTCCAGCCCAGCCAACCTGATGTGGCCCTCTTGAACACAGCTCCAACATGAGCACTTGGATTCTGATAGGCCCATCCAACTACATGTTTGAATCTACTGGTCACTGTGGAAAGATTTTATACTAAGGAACCTTACTTTAGCTGAGAAAGAAGATACTCAGGAAAATATTATTCATAAGAGAAAAATCCTGGAGATACTCCAAATATTCAATAGTAGGGAAATACTTATGTAAATTGCAGCAGACCCAATCTAGAACATATGGAGTCATTAATTAATGATTACTCAGACCAAGTAATAGCATGAAAATACATGTGTCTAATATTATATAGAAAAAAAAATCAAGATACTGAGTTATATATACTATATAATTCTAATAATATTTTACAAAGGAAGAAAAATTAAACTTCAAACAAATGGATGAGAAAACTTTGGAAGAATATAATTGTAATTATGACTATCAGGATACTGAGTTCACAGATGCCTTCTTTTTCTGAACTTCCTAATTTTCACTAAATTTCATTATCTTTGAACCTACCTATCTACATACATATAAACATTTTAAAATATTAGTAAATGTTGACATTCTGACATGTTAGTGACTTTTGTGTCTTCACCCTCAGAGAAGAAAAGCTATGAAGGCAATAGAGCCACTTTCCACAATATTTATTTCAATAGATCAGGGTGGACATGGTGAAGATAGTCTTCCCCGTATACTGGTGCCTAGTTGTATTACTCAATATGCATCCTACATTATGAAAATCTGGCTAAAGGAGAGTTTACTAGTGTCCCCAGAAATTTTGCATAATATCACAATCTCACAAGAAAATAAGAAATAGCAGAAGGATGACCAAGTAGGAATCATGTCCCACAAATGACTCTGCAATGTCCTCTTAGCTCTGTCAAGGGAATAGGTATATTCCTCTCAGTAACCATGGCAAGAATCAAAACACATTTGCCAAAAATAGGTGAGAATGCCTATTTAGACATGTTTGTGGTATTCTACAATGTCTTTTAAGTCTTTTATGGAGCTCTTTTTAAAACAAAAATTTTATCCACAGCTAGAACTGACAATGAAAATTTCATTATAAAAACCAATTTTGGGTGATCTGGGAAAGGTACATGACAATGTCAGAACTTTGCAGTGTCTTCGCTTTATTACCAAGGTTGAATTCATGGAGAAACAAATCCAAGACAACAGAAGATATGTTGCTGTGATGGTTAATTTTATGTAACAACTGGACTGGGCTAAGGGATGCTCAGACAGCTAGTTAAACATTATTTGAGGTGTGTATATGAGGATGTTTCTGGAAGAGATTAGCATCTGAATCAGTAGACTGGTAAAGAAGATCGACCCTCACCAAGGTGGACAGACATCATCCAACCCACTGAGGGTTCAAACAGAGCAAAAAAGGTGGAGGAAAGGTGAATTCTCTCTCTCTTCTTGAGATAAAACATCCATCTTCTCCTCCTGCCCTCAGACATCAGAGGTCTTCATACTCAGACCTTCAGACCCTGGGGTATAAACCAGTGGTCTCTCGGGTTTTCAGGCCTTTGACCTTGGATTGGGAGTTCACCATTGGCTCTCCTAGTTTTCAGGCCTTCAGACTCAGACTGACTCATATCACTGGTTTTCCTGGTTCTTCAGCTGACTTAGGGCATATTGTGTGACTTCCTAGCCTTCACAATCACATGAATCAGTTCCCATAATAAATGACTTCTTATATAGCTATATATCTCCTATTGGTTCTGTTTCTCTAGAGAACCCTAACACAGCAGCCTACATGTATGTGTAGTTTTCAGTGCTCAACAACAAAGTTAATAATTAGAAGGTAATGAAGAAAAACAAATCAGGAAATCTGAAAAAAATACAAATTTAATATCAACCTCAGCGCTCAGAACAAAATGGTATATTTAAATCTCAGTACATAAAATAACTCAAAACACTCATGAGGCTCATATTCTATCCTAGGCTGTGTGTTATGGGAAAAAAACAATAATCAAGGAACTTATTGAATATATGGATGCTGATTTACATGGAAGAGTCATGGAAAGACCAGAAGCAAAAGCTAAACTTGGCTGTAGACTAGAAGGACCAGTCAGAAACCAAAGACCCTTTCATTCCCTCATCTCTACAGAATCTTCTTCCTGTGTTTTATAGAACACAAGTCGCAGAGCTCTCCAGCTTTTGTTGCTAACTGCTACTCTAACTTCCCACTTCCAGTCCGCCCTCCTTGCTCTTTCTCCACAAGTAGGCCTAGAGTTTAGGATATGGGAAGAATCACCAAACTGACATTTGATTGATTATATATGTATATGAACAATAAGTATTTTTAAACTTCTGTTCCTACAACCAGATTGCATTGGAGATTGGAAATTTCTATTTGAACTCTCTAGTATAGATACAGCAGAATTATAAATAAAACAGTAATAGCTAGTATTTATTAATCACTTACAAATACCAGGCATTGTCTTAAGTACTTCATACTAGTTCAACTATCACAACTACCATTTGATGCCGATACCATCATTTTTCTCCATGTTGTAAATATGGAAATTGAGATTTAGGAAGATTAAACACACTTGTTCAGGATCACAGTGAGATACTGGCAGGGGTTGGATGCAGGGGACCAGTGGAGAAAGAATTCAAACCCAGGTCCTCTAAACTTGAGCCTGCATGTTTCACTTTCTGGAAGACCCCTTGGAGAACTTTGCTTAAAGCTGTCAAAAACTTCTGATTTTCAAACAAAGTTATCAACTCCAATTAAGAGAGGTGGAAATCTGCCTTAGTTTGTGATGGTTTGACCAACTCAGGCTTGTATGTGAGTCTCTTATCTAAAGCTTGGGTGAAGATAAAATCAGAGCCATAAAATGTATTACATTAATAGACCCTGTAAATCAGAGTTGGGGGCTGGATTTTACATACTTTCTGTGTGTATAGAAGAGGGACAAATGTGTGTTTAAAAGTTCAAGGATGGGGCAAATGGCAAGAAAGGCAGTGAAAGTATCATTCTACTACACTGTATCTGGCCATAGGGAGAATGCTTTGAATTTGTGACATAGAAATGGCCTTGGCATTGTGAAAGAAACATCCAACGTTAAAACTAAAAACAAGTCTAAACTTCATGTCTAGAATGAAATCTCAGCTGTCAAAAATAGTCCGCAGATTGCAAAAAGTTCTCCAAAATCTGTCGGGATGAACAATAATAAATGATTGGGTCCACAAATGAGTTTACCATTCATTTTGGCACTGCCAGAAGATGTACAGCCACAGTGGGGTTTATATAATGAGTAATATAGTAATGTTTAAAAAGAAAGAAGCAGTAATATTGATATTGCTTCATATTAAACATTTTAACATTGTTTAGACATCATTTCCTAAAAACTCTAAGAATGGTTATGAGTGGATATACTCAAATATGAAGAAATACTATTGCTTTTTTTTATAGTCACATATTCAGAGTCAGTTTGTTACTATGGAATCACATATGATGTCATAAATTTGACATTCTAAATGCAAACCTAGGCAGAGCAACAGAAACAACAGGAAATGGAGCTGGGGAGAGGAAAACCTGCATAACAACAAAAGAAATTCAGGACTTAAAAGAAATGAGTCAAACATCTTTGAAACAGAAAAAGAAGGTGAGTGAATTAAATGTCCTAGAATCTTGCCAAAGAGCTAAGGAAATGTAGACATCAACAAATGTAGATATCATTACCTCTGGGAATGTTCTGCAATAATTAAATCACTTCAGATAATGACTACATGTGGAGTAAAAGGAAGGAAAATAAAGAATATGAAGAATGGAGAAAAATGAGATTAAAGCATTCAGAATCAGTCAATCTAATAATTCAGCATTTGTATGCTCGTATGTTAGTGGCAAGAGGTGAAAACACTCTTGCTATCTTTGGAGAATGCACAACCTAGTAGGAAAGAGAATACATAAAGTACAATTCAGTGCTCAGTAAAAAGTATGTACAAAAGACACAGGCAACACAAAGGAATGTTTAACTCTGGGAACTTCTCCCAGGTCATACTGAGCTGGATTTTGAAGAACATTAAAGAGAAGAGGAGGTTAGAAGGAAATAGGGTGATATGTAGGCAAATACAGGCATTTAGCACAAGCGAACATAGAGATAAAAGTGTACTGTGGAGGGCAAGTTGGGGGTAGACAGGATACACCATGAGACCCTTGGTCTGTAAAACCAGTACCCAGAAATGAAGCATAATTATATTTATGTTTTATAAATATCACTTTAAATAGATGGGGTTGATGGATCTAGAAGTTGGGAGGATATGAGGTTATGAAATCTAATAAAAAGTCTACAATTCTAAGAATGCAGGCCCATAATGATCTGAGATCTGGAACAAGGCAATGATAATAGGGATGGAGAAAAGGGATTGAGTTTCAAATCTCTTTTGCAGTTATAAGTGACAGGATTTTATGGTTAGGGATGTAGGGAGTGGCTGGAAGGATTTTAGGATCTAGTTCTAGGACCACACAGCTCTGCAGTCATAGACTCAATCATCCAGCAAACACTAATACAAAAAGAGTATTATGCACAGACTGCTCCTGAGCACATTGGTCTAAGCGAGAAGATGAGTTCTTAAAACAGAGAAATAACACTAATCTTGATCGCAATACAGCTACCGAATTAGCATGAAACAATACAAATAATGCTCCAATACAATGGTATTTCCCACAATCGAAAATGAACGTATTTGAATAGTGTCCATGACAAGAATCATCTCCCTGTGCCCTCCTACATAGTCTTCCCTATTAGTTTATTCATGAGAAACCTCCTTTCACTCTAGCTGGTATGAATAATTAGAAAATATGTACAGAAGGCAGGACTGTCAATGGATCTGCACAGGATTAAGAACCTTGATTTTAAAAATCAAGCTAATATTGGTGAGACTTAGATCCACAGAAGATTGGAGTTAGGGTTTATTGAGTAAACAAACAAAAAAAGTTTCAACTCTACATGGCCAAAGGAAAAGTTCCTTAAGTATCAACCTTCAGAGCAGTAGAGAAAATAAAAGTTATTCTGTGTGAGCAATTTCACATTTAAATCAAAATCCTGCTGAGCTCTGGAAAATTTTCCCATTGCATTTCGCCTGATATCGTTTTTTTTAATGATAGATGCCTCATGACTTAAACCTATAAACCAACAAATTTCTATATTAAAAATTATTTAGGGGCACCTGGGTGGCTCAGTCGTTAAGCATCTGCCTTCGGCTCAGGTCATGATCCCAGCATCCTGGGATCGAGCCCCGCATTAGGCTCCCTGCTCCGCGGGAAGCCTGCTTCTCCCTCTCCCACTCCCCCTGCTTGTGTTCCCTCTCTCACTGTGTCTCTCTCTCTGTCAAATAAATAAATAAAATCTTTAAAAAAACTGTTTATATAGTTCTCTGATATGTGTTATTTTTATTAATGTCTGTAGAACAGAGGGAAATGTCTAGAATTTATATATATATATATATATATATATTTTATATTGGCAAAAAGACAAATTCTAATTTTTATTCATCCTTTTATTCCCAAACTCAAGGTTTCTAATCCTCCTGAGATTAATTAATAAACATTCTTTATTTCCATATTAAGAATGAGACTGGATCGAGGAACTCAAAAGACAGCCTAGACACAGAGAAAAGAAAGGATTCTGAGAAATCAGGAGTTCGTCTGAGCACTCAGGTGAGCTGACCTCTTTAGAGTTGGCAAGAGAATTAAAGAGGAGAAAGCACAACAGAAAATTTAAGGGGGCAGGAAAGTTCTGGGCGAGAAGACTGAGCTGCCAAGATTTCTATTAAGGGATACCTCATGTCCTCATGGAGAGGTTAAGGACAAACCAGGAGAAGCTGGTCTCTGCCTTCCCCACCAGTATACATCCCCACAGTCATCTTCTCTGCTCAGCCTATGGGAGGAGACTGGTCTTTGTTCAGATCAGGGAGGGAAGGGGAGTCTGGCCATCGCATTGATCATTTTCTGCACCATCTTTCAGATGAGGCGTGCAGTCAATCCGAATCACTTGCTGAGATGTTGCCCCATGCGAGGTCACTCGTCGTGTAGACGCTGCCTTTGTGCAGCTGAGGGAACAGTACCTCTTGGCCCCTGCCACACAATACGTATTTATATTCACATGTGCCTGTTGTGGGAGCAGGGCCGGCAGATCACCATGATCAGGGTGAGCAGAGATCAAACTACTGATTTTGGAGGGGAACCACAGGCAATCTGGGTGAGGGGAAGGATATGGGGAATAGAAACTTCCACTTGCCTCTCCATAGTGTCTTCCAGTCTGATTCCTCCCAAAGAAAATGCTAGAGTGCTCTACTCCCCCTTAGGCAGCTGCTTGGGAGCCCTGGTGCAGCTTCACTTAGGTGGTGGCTGCTCTCATCTTTGTAGTGTGCTAAAAAATGGTAAATATGTCATCTTAGCTTCAGCTAACAGGCTTAACCTTAAGGGAAGAAGAGGGAAAAAGGTCAGAAAAATGGTCAACTCTACCATGTTCCATAAAAGAAGGGTCACAGGTGAAAAAATATGAGATATCAGATTTGTTTGTTAGTTTTGGATTCTCCTCCAGGTGGATCTCCACTTTCTGCTCATTACAGAATTTAGGATTGGGCCAGAGCTAGAATAGTACATAAGGGTCAATGTTGAATTAAGGTCATATAGGACAGGGACCTTCTCATTGGGTTCTGCTATGTTCAGCTTGAAATGGTTGTTTTGTACGCACAGGCATGGCAGGAATGGGTGGTGGGGTATTACATCCCTGGGTCTCTTCTTTCCTCCAAAGGGATCACAGGAATTATCATTGCCAAAGACTGATTCGCAAGGGTACCTTGTGCGAAATCAGTGGTCCCGAACTTCACGAAGCGCATCCACAAGAGATCCATCAATAGACGAACCCAGAAGCAAGAGCACCAGTCTTAAGGTAGAGATGGGAGATGAAATGAAGGAGAACATGATATAATAATGATGATGATAATGATAATAATAATAGTTAACATTTATTGATGCTTTCTATGTGCCAGGCCCTGTTCTATGTACTTTACATGTTTTAGCTAAATCAGTCATCATTAAAACAAAAAAGACAAACCCATAAGCCCCATTCTACAGTTGAGAAAATTGAAACACAGAGTAATTTGCCTAAGATCTCACATTAATAACACTAATTGAGGTAGATTAAAACCCAGGGTCACTAAGTCTATAAGTTGTACACTAACTTAATGATTAAGCCCTTTGACTTCTCCATCCTTCCTTCATTTATTCAACAACTATTTACTGAGTAATCAAGACTTAGAAGACAGGATGGACCGTGTTTATAGCAGCAATGTCCACAATAGCCAAACTATGGAAAGAGCCCAGATGTCCATCAACAGATGAATGGATAAAGAAAATGTGGTATATATATACAACAGAATACTACTCAACCATCAAAAAAAAAAAAAAGAAATCTTGCCATTCGCAATGACGTGGATAGAACTAAAGGGTATTATGCTAAGCAGAATAAGTCAATTAGAGAGAGACAATTATCATACGATCTCACTCATATGTGGAATTTAAGAAACAAAACAGAGGATCATAGGGGAAGGGAGGGAAAAATAAAACAAGATGAGATCCGAGAGGGAGACAAACCATAAGAGACTCTTAATCATAGGAAACAAACTGAGGGTTGCTGGAGGGGAGGAGAGTAGGGGGATGGGGTAACTGGATGATGGACATTAAGGAGGGCTCATGATGTAATGAGCACTGGGTGTTATATAAGACTGATGAATCACTGAACTCTATCTCTGAAACTAATAATATACTATATGTTAATTAATTGGATTTAAACTAAAAAAAGAAGAAGAAGAAGGGGTGGAAAAATCAACCAAGTAGATAAATTGTTGAAAAATATTAGATTGTGTGGTGCTTTGGTCCCTTAACTAGGCCTGGCGCCATGAGAGGAAAATGTTAGTTTTGAGATTAAGTTTTTGGATGCAGAGAGAGAGTGACACGGACCTCGCCACTGGGAGAACACGTATCTCTGTGAAAAGTGGCTCAATAGTCTAACCAAGAATATGCCTTTTGAAATACATGAAACAATCATAAAAACTGAAATATAGGTGCCTAATAATTTATTGCACACCTTAGTAAAAGTATTTTTCTCTAGAATCCTTCCTTTTTATTTAGGAAGAGGATTCTCTCCAAATGAGCTCCACTAGCACACAGAGTTCTGAAGGCAATGAGAAGATACTTGGTTCTCCAGTCTACCAACCTTCCCAGCAATCACTTCATTAATCACAGGAGAATTGTAGAAAGAGATACCTCCAGGTGTTTTGTAGAGTCTGATGGTGGGAACATCTGGTCTAGTTGTTCACAGAGTTAACTGGAGGTCACAGATGAAGGCAGTAGTATGCAAGGACCTTTACTCAAGCCCTCTATCCTACCTGGAGGTCTCTGAGCAAGTATAAGAGAAGCAAGCAACAGTGCTTTGCAAACTACAGGCCAGCTGCCTAAGGACAAGGAAGAATACCTGTGCCCTATCAACTCCAGAAAAAAAAAAAATGCAAGGTGCTGATGGGGGAAGGTAGGGGAAAATAAAATAGGTCTATCTCTGTGTCCGTGTAACAGAAATATCCAATAACTGGGGCCCTGAAACATCTGAGCCCCTTCGAGCCCTACTGAAAGGAGCTATGATGAACCAGGATCCAACTAAGGGCTAAGAATGGAACACAGGGAAGGGGAAGGCTTCTTGACTCCTGCTGGACAGAGATGGGGACAGGTGAGCATCTAACTCAGACTCCCACTTTCTTGCTTCAGCTCCCCAGTAGCTCCACGACCTCCCGGACTTCATCCACCTCCCCCAGCCAGCAAGAGTCCCTGAAGCAGCTGTCAGAGCAGCCCTCGCCGCCCACGCCACCTTTGCCTTCCACTCCACCCATGCCTCTCGACTCGCGTCCTCCCACCCCGCCAGAGCCCTATAGCTCTTCCCGGCGCAGCACCAAGATGCATGAGAATCCCGAAGCCTGGGCTCACGGCATCGTGCGGGATATCCGGGACTCCACGCAGCAACGGGGTTACCCGCGCACGCCCCCCACCGAATGGAAGCCCTATAGCCAGCGCAGATCGACCTACTCCCAGCTAGACCGGGACTGTCTGTCGGAACTGCCTCGGCAGCATCAGCAACGGGAGGAAGAGGAGGATGACGAGGAAGCCTACTGGGCCTCCGTGAAAACTCTGTATGAGAAGATCCCGAGCTGCTCCCGCCCCCGACCGGTGAGCAGGGCCCACCGACCTGGTACTGGAAACTCCCCTCCGTGCAACCCTGCAAACCTGAGTCTCCCTTCTCTCCAATGTGTAGTGAAGTCCTGACCAGACCCCTGCTTCTCCCCTACCCCTGCAGCTTCAGGAGTTGGGAGGGAATACGAGCCCTTGGCTGTCTCCAGCGTCACAGTGCTCCAAGCGGGGCCTAGATGTTTTCTTCCCACCTTGCCCTGATGAGCCCCTTTTCTGATCCCTTTGGTCTGTGTGACTGACTCTCCTCCCATTGGCGCCCCTCTCTGCAGCCCAAACCCAAGAATGCCATCACCATCGCTGTGTCATCTCGGGCGCTTTTCAACATGGTGGACGGCAGGAAAATCTACGAGGAAGAGGGTCTAGAAAAGTACATGGAGTATCAACTCAACAACGAAAATGTCATCCTGACCCCAGGGCCCGCGTTCCACTTTGTTAAGGTACCCTGCAAAACTGTGTTTGGAATGTCAGGACCCTGGATGGAGACGGAAGGACCCAGGCAGACCCTTGGGATCTCATCCAGTTTCCCTTATATTTCCCGATTCCCCCATTGTAATTCTTGCCCTTTTCAAATTGACCTCAGGTCAGCTTATGCTTCCACAGAGGCTCCCAGAGTGGTGAGGAAGGGCCTCCAGTTCTAGATTTGGGATGTTGAGAAGGCGCTCAGTGGAGTTCTAATCATGACACCTGTAAGAAACACCTTTGTTCCCTTCCTAGGAGTGGTAACCGGAAGTGATAATGAGTTTACAATCCCAGCAGTAGAAACAAAATGCCTCATTAAAATGAGATGGAATTTACTTGAGCTGCTTTTGCCCCAAACATAACATGTTAAGAAGATCAAGATGATCTTGATTGGCATGGGGGGGGCATGATTTTAATAGAAAAAGTAAGGTTCTCTGAACTTACGCTGAAATGTATAGCACTTGTAACACTGATACCCTATATAACTTAGACAAATAACAACCAGGCAGAAAAAAATGACACCTACAAGTTGTGAGTAGAAAGTACTTATGGGGCATGGTAGAAGCATGGGAGGAAGCCGCTAACCTATTCTAAAGACTCATATTTAAAAATAGACAAAGTGCATTGGTAGCACATATCCTAAAATTGGAACAATACAGAGACCATTAGCATGACTCCTGTGCAAGGATAACATGCTAATTCACGAAACATTCTATATTCTATATTTTCACAATAAATAATAGTCACCCGATGATCAAGAAAAGAAAAGCAGATTTTAGGAATCAAAAAAAAAGACAAGCTTGAAAGTCTTGGCCTGATCCTTCTCTCTACCTGCCCCACAGACAGAATTCTAGAAAACCAAATGTCATAACAATTTTCAACAAACATTGCCTAGCCATTCAGCAAACATTAACGAGGTGCTGTATAAAAGAGGCTGGAAATAGAGAAATGAATGGCATAACCCTGCCTTAAAAGAGCCATAGTCTCTCAGTGAAGAGTCTCCAGAGTTTGAATTTGACACCAATGATGTCGTTTCTCTCCAGACTCCAGACTCCAACAGTCACCTTGCCTGGCCCTCTTTACATGCGCTTATGTTTGTAACCTGCAGGCACTGCAGCATGTCAATGCTAGACTCCGTGAGCTGTATCCTAATGAACAGGACTTATTTGATATTGTACTGATGACTAATAACCATGCCCAAGTGGGAGTGCGGCTTATAAACAGCGTCAATCACTATGGTAAGTAAAATAAATACCATGTGGAAGAACAGCTTGCTGCTCTGGGAGAGAGAAGCCATGTTATTTTGCTGACTGTGGCCTAACTAATGCAGTGTCTTTGATACTGACACCCCCTTCTGCCTGAGGAATGTTTATTTGCCCATGTCAGAGAAAGAGAGGCCATGTTCATTTTTAACTTTAGCATAGAGTTGGGCCCAAAGCTCCGGACTTAACTTGTCAAGTGTGAATTTCAAAGTCTTAATCCCAGCTCCTGCAATATGCTTCTCTGTTTTATGTTTTTCACTTCTGAACTTGACTTCAAGAAGCCATCTACCCAGAGGCTTTCTCTCTGTGATCAAACTTCTTGCTCACCACAGATCTGTGTTTAAGGTTTATGGGTTTTCACCTTTCCTTTCCACTCTTACAATCTGATTCTCCCTGACCGCTCTCCCTTACACATCAAATCCACACCCATGTCAGCAAAACTGTCTTTGTTCCTTTACATGGAAATTTTGACTGACTCTAGTTTCCTCATAGCATTTCCATCAGTGTGTTGGATTCTTTAAGAGAAAATCCCCAATTTCCTGTTATGGAATTACATGACTTGTTATTTGGGGACCTTTAGATTATTTTCTAAGTGACCTATCCAGGCTTATGAGTATGTCAAGTCAAAGTAAGGTTGAACTTTGGCATATTTAAATTCAAGGTTTAAAGTGGGCATGGTTATAAATAAACAAGATGTATTACAACTTATGAGTTTTACATTATCCTAATTATAAAGCTTATGTCTAAGGGGCACATGAATGGCTCAGTCAGTTAGGCATCTGCCTTCGGCTCACGTCATGATCCCAGGGTCCTGGGATTAAGTCCTGAGCAGAGAGCCTGCTTCTCCCTCTCCCTCTCCCTCTACCGCTCCTCCTGCTTGTGTTCTCTCTCTCTCTCTGTCAAATAAATAAGTAAAATCTTTTAAAATTAAAAAAAGGCTGATGTCTGAGACATATTTTTTAAAAAAGGTTTGTCTTTCAAAAAAAGCAGCTTTTCATAGTATTATGACATGGAAAGAGAACACAGATGAAAGGTTTAGTATAGATGAGTAGATAATCACTCAGTAAACAGCAGCTATTATATTTTACAACACACAATCTTGCACAATTTAGTAGGTAACTTAGGTCTATCTATCCCTCACCAAACTGAGCCCAACAAGGCTAGCAGCATAAGGAAACATAGTTGTCTACCTATCAATTCTGCTAATGAGTTGATTGAGCTCCATCTTCTCATGCAGCCTTATTCATGGAATAACAGCCTTTCACCTGGAAGAGTTAGTTGGTTCCTTCCCTTCTCTGGGTGTTGAAGGCAATTTGTATCTCCCTCTGCTGTGGCCTGTTACATTATCATTCTGTTTTACATGCCTGACTGCTCAGTGGACTGTGATCTCCTTAAGAAGGGGGAAGATGTTTTAACTCTTTCTGAAGTCCCCAATGCCACCAAATAATTTCTGATCATATATTAATATTAATTTATAATATTATTTAAGGGTTTGTGGAATACACTTTTGTGCCACTTATGTCCAGTGTTGGCTTTAGTGAAAAACTGAGAGTATTTCATTAATACCATAGCAAACACTTCCACCCCAATTGTCGATGGACCCTATCTACTCTGTGGGTCCATACAGAGGAAAAACAACTGACTAGACTCGAAATTCTGCTTTATATCATGTGCAGCTACCCAGTTTATTATGAATCTAAAAACACTTTGAATGGGTATATACTATTTATATGCATAATGTTATACTTTATTTAACTACTCTCAAATCATTAAACAGTGTTCTGCTTTTATAAATTATCCTGAACTGAGACCTTTCCACATAAATCTTTATCAGAGTTTCAGATTATTCCTTTAGAATAAAACTAACAAAAAGGTCAAAAGGTATAAACAGTTACATTTCTTGTTACATATTGTCAAATTACTTTCTAGGTAGTTTGTACCAATTTATACTTTCATCTAAAGTGAAAATGGGTGACTATTTTATAAAACTTTCACCAATATCTAGCATTTGTTTTTTAATTGTTGTTGATTTAAAAGACATTTAATGGTATTTTAATATTTAGTCTCCTAAATAATTACATTTAAAATTTCAAGTCAAGGGACACCTGGGTGGCTCAATCAGTTAAGCAGCCAGCTCTTGGTTTTGGCTCTGGTCATGATTTGGGGGTCACGGGATCAAGCCCTGACTCAAGCTAGGAGTCTGCCTGAGGATTCTCTCTCTCTCCCTTTCCCTCTGCCCCTCCCCCACCCCACTGCTCATGGTTGCTTTCTCTCTCTTTCAAATAAATAAATCTTTAAAAATAAATAAATAAATACAATTTCAAGTCAAGAAAGAAACAATTTCAGACCTGTTGTTTTTAGAAAACAGTTTAAATCCTAGCACTGCTTGTCATTACTATTACACTGTTCCTGAAGAAATACAGAAATGGTACTTAAAATAGAGTCACATTAACTCTTTCAACAAATGAATAGCCTACGGTTGAATTAAAAGAACTCTGTCTAGTCTAGACAAGAGTCAGTATGAATCAGTGGGCTTAGACAAGTCTTTATGTCTCAGTTTCCTTTTCTGTAATGATGAAAATAATGCCTATCATACAATTGTTGTGAGAGCAAATTGGCATGGTCTATGTAGACATACTTAATAAAAAATAGCTTTTTCATATATAACATAGCAATTTTTCAATATTAGTGCTACAAAGGTAATTCTAAAACCTCAATAAGCATTCATTTATTCCTAAGATAACTTTGGTTTACATTTACAGTAAGTATATTGTCTTTAGTCTCTGACATAACACAGTCTTTCTTGCCCAATAATAGGCTTATTAATTGACCGCTTCTGTCTGACTGGTGGAAAAAGCCCCATTGGCTATTTGAAGGCATATCTTACCAACTTGTATCTTTCTGCAGATTCTGAAAAAGTACAAGAAGCAATACAAGAAGGTATTCATTTGGTTTTATCCCTCAAGTTAATAAAGAGGTTTGCACTAGTGTTGACTTTCATTGGGCTTCATATATGATTATGTGGCTTATGTCTTTGTTAAATTTTCTGCTAAGGTGATTCCACAAGTAGCATCCCCTAAATCTGTCTTTTAGAGCTTTGACCTTCTTGGAGGTGGACATTCTCAGTGATTGTCCTACATCCCATTTTACACTTTCCCATCTATTATAGAAATGGAGGCAGTGTGTAAACAATTGTTTTGAGATGTGTGGTTATAAAGAGCAATTGAGTCATCAGGTTAGATGGGAAAAAAATTTTTTCAAGGTCCGGGAGGACCTTTTTTTCTTTTTCTTTTTTTAATCATTAAAATGGTAGAAGAAACTGATGCCCCTGAGAAGAGTATTAATAAATCTCCATGGTCTGCCAGGGATCGCCTCTGCAACAATGTTTGATGGAGCCAAAGACATGGCTTACTGTGACACACAGCTCCGTGTGGCCTTTGATGGGGATGCCGTCCTCTTCTCTGACGAATCTGAACATATTGCCAAGGAGCACGGGCTGGACAAATTCTTTCAACATGAAACAATGTTTGAGAATAAGCCTCTTGCTCAGGTAGGTTCAGTGAGTTCTAATTAATTTTCATTTACTTATTTTCCAACATATAGATATACATATTTTAAATTATTTCAGGCAGCCACTCTTCATTTCTTATCCTTTATACTTTGCTCCCTTTCATGAACTCCTCATTTTGAAACACCCACTGCCCACTCGGGTTTTTGTTTGTTTTGTTTTGTTTTAGCATTCTTTTATCTATCCTTTTTGGAAGTGTTTCTGTGATCTTCTCATGATAATGAGTTCACCTCCAAATTACAAGTGATAGAAGTAATATAGCTTACCAGTAAGCTATTTCTACATAATAAGTTCTCAGAATAGTAAAGTGATTTCCAATAGGTCAGTAAACATTTGTGGACCTCTCTGCCCATAAACCTCAAACTCACTAACACATTACTTAACTGAGAAAATTTGCACAAATGAGAGCTCAAATTGAATCAAAATAATGAGCCTCAAACAAGTTCAAGCTATGAACACCTAATCAAAATGAAACTGAATATTTAGGTTTTTTGGAATCAATCCGTGAACTGAAGTGTTAAAGGCACAGTGTAAAATGAACAAAACTTACAACTTCTGAACCAAAGGAAATCTGAAACATCAAAATATTCTTCAAATTGAATCTGAACTGATAGATTATTTAGTTTTTATCTAAAAATTGTACCAAAGAATTGGTCTTTTTTCTCAGCTCTTCTTGAATGTAAGATAAACTTAAATGTTGTTATTTTTATTAGACTTATAAAAGTATAAATAGAAAACAGAAAGCTGAAGTGTTTCACTAACTCACCTCATGTTACAGCAAGTGATATTTAAACTGTGTGTGTGTGTGCATGTGTGTGTGTGTGTGTGTGTGTGTGTGTATGTGTTAATCAGAACTGTTGGGGTGTAATTTATATACAGTAAAATTCATAATTTTTAGTGGATGCTTCTAAGAGTTTTGACAAATGTATACAGTTATGAAACCATTACCAAACTCAAAATACTCATTATACTCACAAAATTCCCTCCTGTCTCTCTGTAACCATCCAACTCTGCTATCTCCAGGACCTCTCCCCTACTAATCTGATTTCTGTCCCTATAGTTTTGCCTTTTCCAGATGTCACATAAATGGAACCACACAGGATACAATCTTTTGAATCTGACTTCTTTTATTTAGCATAATGCATTTGAGATACATCCATATCATTCCATGTATTAGTAGTGTCTGTTCCTTTTTATTTTTGAGTCTCTTCTATGGAGGTACCATATTTTCTTTATCCATTTACTTGTTGGAGGATATTTAGGTTGTTTCCAATTTTTGGCATTTATAAACAAAGCCATTTTAAGCATTTGCTTACAGTGTTCTGTATAAACTTAAGATCTGATTTCTCTTAGATAAATACCTAGGAGTAAGATTACTAGGTCACATGGTATATGTGTCACTAGGTCATATATTTAACTTTATAAGATACTTCCAAAGTATTTTCCCAAGTGACCAGACCACTTTGCATTATTCCGAATAGCACTATACGTGAGATTTTGTTGCTCTGTATTTTGTACTGGTAAGTCGTTTTCTGTTTGCTTCTTTTAAGCTGTTCTAGCGGTTGTGTAATGGTATCTCATTGTGGTTTTAATTTGCATTTCTCTAATGACAAATGATATTGAACATGTTATCAGGTGTTTATCTGCCATCGTTGGTACTCTTTGGCAAATATATCTGTTCAAATCTCTTGCTCATTTGTACCGGGTTTATTATTGAAGTTTGAGAGTTCTTAACATATTCTGGATAGAAGTCCTTTATCAGATGTGTTTTGCAAATAAAAAGCATGTCTTTTTATTCTTTTTATATCTTTCAGTGTATTTTGATGAACAGAAACTTACAATTTTGATGAAGTTCAATTTGTCAGTTAATTCTTTTATGAATTGTGCTTTTAATGTCATATCTAAAAACTGTCAAAGTCACATACATTTCCTATGTTTTTGTACAAAATTTTATAATTTTAGTGTTTTTTAAGGATTATGACCTATTTTGAATTAACTTTTGTATTTGTGCAAAGTATTTGGTTAAGTTCAATTTATTGCTTATGGATATCCTAATTGTTCCAGCATTATTTGTGGAAAAGAATGGCTTTCTATTCCTTTAACATAGGTGTCTATGCTTTTACCAATATCACACTGTCTTGATTAGTGCAGTTTTATAGTAAGTCTTGAGATCAGGTAGTGTGAGTTCTTCAATTGTGTTATTTTTAATTCTTTTGGATACTCTGATTCTTTTGCATTTTTATACAGATTTAACAACTAGCTTGTGCATTCCTGGAAAAAAAAAATCCTGCTGGAATTTTGATTATGATTGTGTTGAATTTTTAGCTTAATCTTGGGGAGGGGGATGTCTTAATATCAAGTCTTTCAGTCCAGGGACATGATATATCTCTCCATTTATTTAGGTCATCTTTGATTTTTTTCATCAGTGTTTTGAATGTTTTTGTATACAGATATCACACGTACTTTGTTAGATTTCTACCTAAGTATTTCATAATTGTTGGTGTTATTGTGAATGATATTTTAAATTTTTGATTTCCAATCTGTTTGTTGCAATATGCAGAAAGACAACTGGTTTTTGCATATCAACTTTGCATTTTACAACTTTGTTAAATTCACTAGTTAGTATAGTAAAGTTTTTGTAGATTATGTGAGATTTTCTCCATAGACAATACTGTGAATCAAAACACTTATTTCTATGTTTCCATTCTGTATGTCTTTTAATTATCTTTCTTGCCTTATTACCTTTGCTAGTGCATTCAGTACAGTATTCAACAAGAGTCATAAGAGGACGCATCCTTGCCTTGTCCCTGAACTTCGGAGCAGATCATTCACTCTTTGACTACTAAGTATATATAGAGAATATATTTTGTGTGATTTCAGTTCTTTAAATTTGTTGAGGAGTGTTTTATGTCCAGAATATGGCCTATCATGGTGAATGTTTCATGTGTACTTGAGAAGAATGTTGATTCTGTGTTGTTGAGTAGTCAAAAATGTCAGTTAGCTTAAGTTGACAGTGTATTAGTCAGGTAATATTGCCCAGGTTTTCCAAATTGTCAATGATTTTCTATCTATTTCTATCCACTATTGAGGAGGCAGTGTTGAAGTCTTCAAGTATATTTTGAGGATTAATCTATTTCTCCTTTTAATTATATTCATTTTGCTTCATGTATTTTTAATCTCTTTTGCTTACTGCCCAAATATTTAGGATCGTTATATCTTCTTGTTGAAATAATCCCTTTTCATTATGTAACGTCTCTCTGTCTGATAGTCATATAAACACTCCAGCTTTTTGCTTTTTGTTTGTTTTTTGGACTGGTGTTTGTATTGTATATATTTTCTATAATTTTTACTTTTAACCTATTATGTTTTTACATTTAGATTGTTTCTATATTTAAATTGGCTTTCTTGTAGATTATATATATATATATAGTTCGTGTTGCTTTTTTTGTACAATCTGACAATCTCTGTGTTTTAATTGCTATTTTTAGACCATTTACATTTAATGTGATCATTACTCTGGTTGGATTGCAATCTATCATCTTCCTCCTTTTTTCTATATGTTCCCTCTGTTGTTTGTTTTTCCTTTTCTTACTTTTTGCTTTTGGATTTATTGTAGGTACTTTATGTTTCCAGGATTCCATTTTATCTCCACTATTGACTTATAACTCATTTTAAGTTTTCCAGTGATTACCCTAGGATTGACAGCATACAACTTTAAGTAATCACAGTCTATTTTCAAACAATATAATGCCACATCATGTATACTGTAAGAATCTTACAACAGTGTACTCTCAACCCCTTCCTCCCATATTTTGTGCTATTGTCACACATTTTATTTTCACCTATGCTATTAACTCACAATACCTTGCTATTATTTTTTATTTGACTAATCAATTATTTAGAATTAATATGGATAAGATAAAAAATATGTCTTTTGTATTCATCTTCATTGTAACCATTTCCAGGGATCTTCATTTCTTTGTGTAAATCCAGCTTTCTCCCTTGTGTCATAATCAGTTTGCCAGAAAACCATATTTTAACACTGTATGTAGAACTGATATGCTGTTACCAAAAGTTCTGCTTTTCTTTGCCTCAAAAACTCCTTATTCTCCTTCATTTTTGAAAAATATTTTATTTTGACTGGATATAGTTTTTTGCATTTACTGTATTTTTATTTCAGCACTTTGAAAATACCCATCCATTATTTTCTGATTTCCGTAACAGTCTCCAATCCCACTTCCAGTGGTGGAGGGTTTTTTTCTTTCCCTTTCCCCCACAGCAGTGGATCTTTACTTGTGCCCTAGACGTGACAGTGTTTGAAGCCCTTCTGCTGGCAATGTAAGACTTTTGTTACTTAGGAAACATGGGGCAAGGTGGAGTTTTAGTCTTTTCTCATAGTGGTAGCTGCTCCTGTCCTCCAGTCTGCACTACCAAGGAGTGCATTCTCTCATTTCCCATCCTGCCTACAGTCTTTCTCATAAACGACTAGTAAAGTCCATGAAAAAAAAAGCCTGTAAAAGAGTGTTTTGGGTCTGTGACTTTCAAGGCTTCTTTGCTCTCTTATTAGTCCAGATTTGGCCTTTATCAATATGCTTTTTTTAAAATTATCTCAGTCGTTCATACTTGCTTCTATGGTATCTGGTATGGCATCCTCCATTGCTTTGCCAAAGATGTGCCAGTTCTTGAATTCCATATGTCCTTGAAGAGAACCTTAGATTTTCCCTTAGATTTTTTTCTTTACATTTCATGTTAGTCTGTTGTCCTATTGCCTCAGCTCTCTAATGGGCTCAATAAATGCTATGATTTTTTTTTTAGATTATCTTGGTTTTTCTTTTTAAGATAGAAATATCATCAGTCTTTCCAACTTTCTACATCCTAGGCACATTCTAAATGTTGTAAGTCATACAGCTTCTCAAAAAAGTATTTTTTAGTAACTTTACCTATTTCTATATTTTTATTGACAAATTATATACCTGTACTGCTGCACAAATGTTTAAATTATAAAACATACCCAAAAATAGAAATAAGAAAGGATGATATGGATACCTGGTTTGAATATGGTGACATAAACAGGCTGGTCCCTATTTATTCCCTTTGGAAACTACTTAAAAGCAGCAAGAAGAATTGTATTCCTCTATGTTTTAAAGCCAAACTAGTCATGAGTTGGGTGACTACTGCCAATAGTCACTATACCCCCTTTGCTGCTGTTGCCAAAAAAAAAAAAAAAAAAAGTTAATAGTTTTTCCCATATATATAGAGATACAGATATTTCACCTTTAAAAAGTGAATTTTATTTGTTTTTTCCCGTGATATATGCTGACAGAGAAACAGTGATCTAAATAATGTTTAGATCTAAATAGACAAATGATCATCTAAATAAGCCATGTTTATTAAAAAACAGTGTGTTTCCTGAACAGCAGAGAAGAAGGGATCTTTTGAATTATGAAATAAAATCAGCTTTAGAATATTATCCTTGACCTTTGCCATAAGCCCTCTAATTGTTCCAAGGAAAACCAATCTGCTTCAGTGATGAGTAATAAAAACAGAACCAGCACAGAATATAAGCAAAGATACTGAGAAAAAGGCAAAGAAGGGAATAATAAGAGATGTAGATCTCTAATAAGAGATGTAGATCTCTCACTAGAAATAGTAGCCAAAGTATAGGTAAAAATTGTGACTAAACATTTATGATAACTTTTAAAAACTTAAAAAAGCAAGTCAGGGTCATAAAGTAGAAATGTAAGAATCAGGGGAGAGATAGTAAAAAGTTAAATGGTAGAACTCTGGAAATGAGTAGAACTGAAAAATAAGATTTGAGAGAGAAAAATAACAGAAAATAGATCACAGGTAAAGAAAATCCAACATATGCATAACTGGAATCCCTGAAGAAAAACATCGACATTATGTTCTGAGGGGAGGAGGAGAGGGTTGTATGTGGTAAATACAAAGATGCAAATGTATATAAAAATATAAACCAAGAAAACACCTTAAATTGTCAGAAGATTTTAATGCATACATTAAACTATTAAAAGAAATGGAACAAAATGATCATCATTAAGACGTGCCCTACTAAAATTTTTTGACATCAAAGATGAGGTAATTCTTTGGGCAGCCTTCACATATGAGTGGGGAAAAAAAAAATCAAGCTGTCCTCAGTCTTTTCCCACAGCAGTACTCAATAGCAAAAGACAGTGGAGCACTACTTATAAAAAAATCTAAGAAAACGGAAAGAAAATCTAAATCACTGATTCTATATCCAGCTAAAAGTTCATTTAGGTAAAAAGAAAACAGATCAACAGTTTAAAATATCAGGGATTGTTATTTCCATAAGATTTTCTTGAGAAAACTAGAAGACAACAGTTTGGCCAATATGTAGATGACTAGAAACACAAATGGACATATAGCACAGAATATATTTAATCACAGAACTAAAACTTAAACATTTGTAGGGAATAGGGTGGCAGGAAAGAAAGCACAGATTATGTGTTCTAACAATGGAGAAATTACATAACTAATGAAAACTGGGAAAATGTGGAGGAAAAAGACCTAAGGAAGAGTAAGTATGTTTATATCTTCAGTTATAATAAGTAATCAAAGGATAAGATGTAAAGGTGATAAACAGAAATATAAGAATCTTTAATAATGAAAATATAACCACTGAGAAAGAGGAAACAAGTAAAATTGGATGGTTGCAGAAGAAATCGAGGATAAGAGAGAGGTGAAGAAGTACTGTAATTTCATTATTTCTCACTGTAAAAAATAATAGATTCTGGATTTAAAAAAAAAAAAGGGACTAACAGTACTATAAAAAGTTACAGTTACAAAGGTAACCAATAGAAGGAAATAATACAAACCTTCCTAAATCTTAGACGAAGCACACATACACACATGCACAAAGAAAATAAACACCCAATGAACAATCCTTTAAAATATTTAAACAAGGAAAATGCAATAAAAATCATAAGAAAGAACCATTATCACATATATTTGTAATACCAATAAATTTAAATGGCCTAAAACTCAACTTTGTTTTAAAAATTAAGACTTCCAGATCGGAACACATAGCAGAATCCAGATCTTGCTCTATTCCAGAGAAACAGCTAAAACTAAGTGTTCAGAAAGGTTGAAGATAAAAGTAAGTGTGAAGATACACACAGGTAATTGTAAATATAAGACAAGGCTAGATTCGAGCCAAGAAGACACTGAACTAGATAAAGGAGTATACTTCATAATACTAAAGTGTGCAATTCAGAAAAATAAAACTAAAATAGTTCTTTTGGTGATTAACCAAACTTTATTTAGAGTATCCCATTTAGCCATGGATAATTTATGTCTGTTGCCCTTTTACTTTTTATAGAAACTTTCACTCTCAAAACATCAGTGTTTAGATAATAAATTATATGGTCATCCTACACTTATTCTAGGAATGCAAGGATAGTTCCATACAAGGAAATATACTCACATAAAAGCAAGGAGTTTCAGGACTGTTCCATTGGCCTTAGAATACTGCATGTCTAATGCAGTACTATAACCTTTTATAACCTCTTGTAAGCCTCTGCCTTTTCAGCATTCACTTCCTTTAGCTCACTGGATCACAGCTGTGACATATGTTCCTTTTACAGGGTCCCTTAAAAGGCTTTCTGGAAGATTTAGGCAGACTGCAAAAGAAGTTTTATGCCAAAGATGAACGGTTACTTTGCCCTATCAGGACCTACCTGGTTACAGCCAGGAGTGCAGCCAGTTCAGGCGCCCGAGTGCTGAAAACCCTTCGCCGCTGGGGTCTAGAGATAGACGAAGCTCTTTTCCTTGCTGGAGCCCCCAAAGGTCCCATTTTGGTGAAGATAAGGCCCCACATTTTCTTTGATGACCACATGTTCCACATCGAAGGGGCACAGAAGCTCGGCACCATCACAGCTCATGTACCTTATGGCATTAGTCAAAAAATGAACAATTAGGGATGGGGAGGAGAAATAAAGCAGTAAGTCCGGTATTACAGAAGCCACTTCTTGTGGATCTCTAGGGTAATTACACAGGTATTTCAGAAGACTGGACCAGAACTTAGTTCATTTGGGAAGGTTTCCTCTTGTTTCTCTTGAAAACATTTTGAACCCTCAAGTTACCTTCAAGCTACATCTCTGTGAGCTGCCAGTGCTGTTGAACACAACTCACCTACCCTTGTGTGTAAGTCATACTAATGACTCTTTAGGATAAGTTTATAACTAGAATGCTTGAATGCTGAAAGGGCTAAAGCCTAGTTAGTTTTATAAAGCATTGCTCATTTTTGGATGTTAGTAGATAGAATGAATTGTTACCCATCATCATTGCAGAATATTGGTCTTCAAAGAAGGAAAGAGAAGGGTTAAACACACTCTTGAAAATTAGAGCTTTTTATTGTTGCCTCTGTGACCAGCCTTTTAATCAATGCAAAATTAGAAGGTCACTCCATCTGCAAAAGTATACCAATCTGACACTGCTCATTCAGAAATAAATCAGCAGGTTATTCATATAGGGCACTTTCTATCTAAGATGAGCTCTAGACAGAAGCTCCTGGGAAAGCTTCTTCGAAGCTTACCTGGTGGGTGCATTGCCTGTGCGCCACAGAACTTCATATTTGAAGTCTCTGGCTCTGGGCCTGGCAGGTAGGTCCAATGATTACATGGAAAAAAATGCCTTGGCTACCACTTCAAAATGTAACATGAAGTGTAGTATCCTAGCCTTTCACTGTTACCATTCTTTTATTTTTGTTTTGTTTTCGAGAAACATTGACTGTTTTTTAACCATAATCTACTGCATAATAGTCACAGTGAGCTGGTTATTTTCATGCCACCTCATTTTCTTACAAACCAAATGTTTGCAACAGAATAGTATTATTACCTCATTTTTTAATCAATGAAGAACTTAAGATTCACAAAGAAAAAGTAGCTTGTCCAATAATGTGCAGCTAATAAATGGTAGAACTAAGATTCAAAATCAGGTCTTACTTCAAAAGCTATAATCTATTTTCTCTGTGTTATATAGCCTTCCACATCAAGTTGTTCTTATTAATTCCATGGCCATAGGACCCATCCTGAAAAGATTAGTCATTCCATCATTCTGTGATTAAACTACACAGCAGTTACATAGCAGATCTGGGGATTTCCCTCCTCCTTCCCTCTTCATGCCCTCTCTCGTTCCTTCTACCCCCACCTCTCTCTCTAGTGCATGCATATATACATACTCCACCCCAGCTCTAGTTAAAGAAGACTGCTGCTGATACATAGCTTTTGCTCTGCTTCTTAATTTGATGTAAGCTAGTCCAAAATGTATCAGTCATGACACTCACTGAGTACCTACTGTTTTCTATGCATTCTCCAGTATGAAGACCACAAAGAAACTCAGACATAATCCCATCCTTTAGGGAATTTAAAACCTCAAACAATCCGTAGAGTAAGTCAAGCACGCAAACTGATATAGTCAACACTAGAGGGCTGTTTGTTCTCAGTGCCAAGAAGCGAGGGTCACACAGGAAGTTGAGGCAGAGATCTGCATGGGCTGGAGGTGATCAGACAACAGAACTGAGGTGAACTTTGAACGATGGGAAAAATACAGATAGATTGAAAAAGAAAGAGGAAGCAGATGCACTCCGGGATCAGTGAGTTTGAGAGGCAGCTTCAAATTACAGAAAGGGTGGAATAAAGGTCCATCCCTGGTGATTTCTGCTCTGGTGCCTTGTGGAATCCCCCAGGACAGTGCTCCTTCCCACCTGTGAGCTCCATCTCCAGCACTCACATGAAACCTTCTTCTGGCATTCTAATCCTCTTCTATTTGTAATGTGACTGTTCACTGCATGTTACATCCTTCCCAAACGTACAGGAGTGGAGGAGAGTTTATCAAAATAATCTAGGGAGTTTATTTCAAACTATACAGGTTGTGTGTCTCTTCTCTTGCCTGAAGATTCTAGAATGGGGGCTGTGGCCGGGGAGGTCTCTGTCTCTGTACCAGACAATAAGCACCTCGAGGGCAGAAATGGTGTCCTATTTCTCTGTGACTCTCACAGGGCATGGGGCCTCGCACATATCTGATGGGTGAGTAGATGAATGAATGAGGACTTGAGAAGACCTTGGTCTAAAAACTATGAAGTTTGCCACTTGAAGATGGGTCCCTGTGGCAATAAGCCCTGACATTTTTCAATCACTTTATAGTGCACAAAGCACTTTCCCTTCCATGATTAATTTAATCGTCTCCTGGAGGAGGTGTGGAAGCACTTGTGAATAGGCCTACTCAGAAGTCTGTGTCTAGACTAAGTCCAGGCTTTCCCACTACATCTCTACCAGTATCAAATAAGACCACTGGAGGATGACTTTTGCTATAGAGATCAATGCCATAATGGTTTTCAGTTCTCAGGCTGTAGTCCACGAACCAGCAGCGTCGGAATCACCTGGGAACTTTTTAGAAATGCAAAGTCTCAGGTCCCATCTGGAACCTATTGAACTCTAAACTCTGGTACTGGGACCCTTCAATTTTGGGGACGGGGTCGGGGGGAGAGGGTTGTGCTGTTTTTACGAGCTCTGCAGGGGATTCTGATACTAAGCTAACATCTGAGAACAACTGGTCCATTCTGTTTAGGACTGGTTCACGTTGCTAAGTTCTTCGCCTCATCATAATAAAAAAGAGCTCTTCCTCACACTCCAGAGGGTAGGAACCACTCATTCTCCTGAGGGTGAAAGGAAACTGCACTGAGGGTAACAAGTCCCAGGGATCCTTATCGGAAAACACACTAAGCAAGCCCTGATATGTGGGATTTGTAAATTCAAAATATTCATAAGGCATCCCCACCGGGTCGACCACCACCAACCACTCTGGGGCCTGTGCTCACCCTCCATGGGCCGGCTCCACCGAGTCACCGCGACTCCGGGCGCTGTACTGCCCTAACCAATCCGATGCCCTCGGAAGGAAAACTACAAGTCCCAGCATGCCCCACGCCTCCCCGTCAGGCGGCAACAGGCCCCGCCCCAGAGTTCTTCCCGTGCAGGTGGCAGCCTAGGCACCGGGCGTGCGGCGACTCCGGAAGTCCCGCGCGGGGGCCGGTGGGCCCTCGGCCCCGGCGGCCATGGCCATAGCTACAGTAGCGGCGCTCCTGGCCGCACTGGGTGGGGCCCTGTGGCTGGCGGCCCGGCGGTTCGTGGGGCCCAGTGTCCAGCGGCTGCACGGAGGGGGCAAGTCGGGCCTCATGCACGGGAAAACCGTGCTGATCACTGGGGCGAACAGCGGCCTGGGCCGCGCCACGGCAGCCGAGCTGCTGCGCCTGGGGGCAAGGGTGATCATGGGCTGCCGCGACCGCGACCGCGCCGAGGAGGCGGCGGGTCAGCTCCGCCGCGAGCTCTGCCAGGCCGGGGGCCCCGAGCCGGGCTCTGACGCCGGCGAGGCAGGCGAGCTCGTCGTCAAGGAGTTGGACCTCGCCTCGCTGCGCTCGGTGCGCGCCTTCTGTCAGGAGATGCTCCAGGTGTGGGGCTCCGGGAACCAGCTGGAGATCCGGGACGGGCGCGGGCCTCGGCGGCTGGCGAGGAGGGGCCGGGGGCTGAGCGGGGGAGGGGGGGCCGGGGGGGGCAGGGGGTGGTACCGCCCAGAGTCCGGGGGGTGTGACCTTGGGAAAGACCGAGCCTAAGAGTCAAAACCGTCGAATGGTATGAGGACTTGGGAGTGCAGGCTGGGGAAATTGGTGGGAAAGGCCTCTGTTTTCCAAAGATGCTTAGAAAACAATGGCCCCTGGAGGAAAATTAGCCAGTTTCTGAATATTTCCTTTTGTTATGTGAGGATGGCCCAGGGGGCATCCGCCAGATCTTCGGATTGTTTGTTTCTGTGTCTGAAGTCCCTGCACCAAGTCATCTTCCAGAGCCTGGGAGCCAGAGACCTTGAAGCATTTTTTTACCCCCTCTGCTGGGGTAGGAAGTTTAGCTCTCTGACACCAGTAGATTCATTAGCACCAGCTCCTTAAACAGTCTCTGGCCTGATTTCTAAATAGATTGGAGCTAGGAATCCCAGTAGCCATGTGCTCTAAACGGGTACAGAAATAAATATAATACTTAGTATTTATTGAAGGTTTCCTATGTGCCAGGAGCTATTCCAAGAATTTCAGATACTCAAAAAAAAATTTTTAATGAAATTAAAGGGGCTTTGGCTATTATTGTCATTGAATCCTCAGTAACCCTGATAGGTTTTTTTTTTTTTTTTTAAGATTGTATTTATTTATTTGACAGAGAGAGAGACAGCAAGAGAGGGAACACAAGCAGGGGGAGTGGGAGAGGGAGAAACAGGCCTCCCACTGAGCAGAGAGCCTGATGCAGGGTTCATCCCAGGACCCTGGGATCATGACCTGAGCCAAGGCAGTCAATGACTGAGCCACCCAGGCGCCCCTGGGCATTATTATCCCCATTTTACAAAGTTAGGAAACAAAGGCATAGGTAAGCCAAATAATTTGCCCAGGATTTGTCCAAAGCCCTTTCTTTCTATACCCCTGCTGCCTGCCTATGAGGTGTAGGAATCTTTGTTTAGATGATAAATATTCCACTGAGGTGGATGTCCTCTGTTGAAATTGAGGTAGAAGAGTTTCCTGCAGAAGTGACTTGCAAAAGGGCATATAGAAGAGTGAAATTTAAAAATCGCTGGTGTGAGAAAGGTGCCCATATGAAATGGAGTCTCTTGAGTCTACAGCTTAGGTTCCCAAACTTTCTAATTTTTTCATGATGCCAGTAGGCCAAAGGAAGTATCTATCGGTTTATTAAGCAATTAGGTCCAAACAACCTAATAAGTATTTATGTCCTAACAACTTAGTAGCTGTTTGAGAAAATAATATACATAATTGAAAGAAAAAAGATACTCCATTCTTCAATAATCATAATTACTAATGGGAAATGTGCACCTGTTGTTTAGTGCATCACCTTCTCAGTCTTTGGAATCAGATTGAAAATGTCCACCCCCGTGTCTTGTTCTAAGTTGATATTTAACATAGTACTTGCATTTTACGAAAAACTCAGCTTTACAAAGATAGGACACCATTGAAAGGAATTTAGCACAATTTAATGTTGAAGGTGTGAACTCTGTGAGGCTCTGGGGCACCTTGATGCACAGTTTGGAAACTTGCAGATACAGAGAGGTTTTCTGTTTGTCTCTTTGTCTTAATGGCTAGTATTTCATTATCAGGTAAAACAGGTTAAGAAATAAGAAATAATACTAGTGTATAAAAGATTTTGAAGCATTAAAAGTGGGTCTTCCTGTTGTTCATTAAAAATGTAGTAGATGAGTCCGGGTATACTTCTCATTTCAGACACTTAAGGCATTTTATTACTTTGGCCACTTGAGACAGAACCAATTAAAAGTTAAGGAGATAAACTTTACTAAGTTTCTTTCTGGCTCTGAAGTCCAGTGACTATAAGCAGATTTTTTTTTAAATGGAAGTATAAATTTCCCACAGGTTGGTATTCATGGTATTTATGTCATTTATCTCCTAGAATTTAAAAAATAGTGAATGATAAAGTCTTAAAATAACACAAACCCAGCAAAGAATGATGGCTCGGAAATGATTAATACAGGAAACTCTTCCAAAGGATTAGTGAAAAAAGAACACTCCTTTCTTTCCCCCACGGGTGAACTTTTGCCTTCTTTTTGAAGTTGACTGTTGGAAAAGCCAAAGGTGCTTAGACAGACAGAATGATAAATAGTTAATCCTCTGGCAGGTAGGCTGTGATAACAGTTGTGAAATTTAACACATTTTTCTTTTTACTTACACTTGGCAAAAGGGCCAGTGAAATTTGAAATTTGACCTCAAATTAATTTAATCATAGGTCATCACTGTGTCTTTACACCTGGAACATGTTGTACATTTCTTTTTCTCTGCCCATCAAAAGAGACAGAGAGGAGCCCGGAAAGAGCTAGGGAAAACCAACTTACATGAATTAAGGAACGAAAAGACTTCCTTTTGAGGACAGTCTAAATTTTAGCATTTAACTCTGGAGAAATGCAAGAGGGTACAAAGTGTAAAATTCTGACTATAATAGATCCCCTAAGCTGGGGGTCCTTCAGAGTTTGAAAGAGGTAGATTTTATATAGGGAAAAAAAGAATGGAATTCTAAATTTATAGTAGAGGTTAAAGGTGTTTGTTGGTCCTAACTCCTCTCTAAATGTCCTTTGCTGTTACTGTGAGACTTAGTATTTATGATTCATTGCTTTGTTTCTGCTATTTTTTATTACCTAATCAATTTTTTTCTTAACGTTTCTTTGATTTAGTCATGATGTTCTCTCCAGTTTTAATTGGCATCCCTGACCCTTTCTATTGCGTGCTCCATCCCCATGGTACCATTTACCCTTAGAAAAGTACAGAATGAAGCAGTACTAGTTTGCCCCTGGTGTTGATAATAGCAGCTCTGGGAATAAATCATGCTGACCTGCCTTCTGCCATATTTCCACTTCCTAGCTCACATCGACTCTTTAGCTATGATGTGAAACTCCCAGTTAGAAAAGCAAGCTAGCTTACTAACTAAAAACAGGGGCATTGGTGTCAGAAGATTTCATCTTCCAGTTTTTGTTTGCCACCCAAGAGCCCTGTGATACTGCACAAATCACCTCACTTGGGTGCTTAGTTTGCTCACAGCGTTGGTGAGGGTAGATGAGAGAGCATGTGAAAAGCACAAGGCCAGTCCTCCATTAAACATGCAAGTCTTTCCACTCCCCACCCCCCAATTGTTGAAAACCCACAGAGGCACTTTATGGAATTTTAGTAATTTGTAAGAACTTTTAAAAATTTCATTGTAGGCCTGTATTCATAATTGCCCCATTCTCTTTTTAACATTTAAAGGAAGAACCTAGACTGGATGTCTTAATCAACAACGCAGGGATCTTCCAATGCCCTTATATGAAGACCGAAGATGGGTTTGAGATGCAGTTTGGAGTTAACCATCTGGGGCACTTCCTACTCACCAATCTTCTCCTTGGACTCCTCAAAAGTTCAGCTCCCAGCAGGATTGTGGTAGTTTCTTCCAAACTTTATAAATATGGAGACATCAACTTTGAAGACTTGAACAGTGAACAGAGCTATAATAAAAGCTTTTGTTATAGTCGGAGCAAACTGGCTAACATTCTTTTTACCAGAGAACTAGCCCGCCGCTTAGAAGGTACAAACGTGACTGTCAATGTATTACACCCTGGTATTGTGCGGACTAATCTTGGCAGGCACATACACATTCCACTGTTGGTCAAACCACTTTTCAATTTGGTGTCATGGGCTTTTTTCAAAACCCCAGTAGAAGGGGCCCAGACTTCAGTTTATTTAGCCTCTTCACCTGAGGTAGAAGGTGTGTCAGGAAAGTACTTTGGAGATTGTAAAGAGGTAGAACTTTTGCCCAAAGCTATGGATGAGTCTGTTGCAAGAAAACTCTGGGATATCAGTGAAGTAATGGTTGGCATATTAAAATAGGAACAAGGAGTGAAAGAGCTATTTATAACACTGGCTGCCAGTTCTATCTGTAATCAGAAATGGTGTGGCTTGAGTACTTGCTACTCGAAAACAGTTTTGGTTTTACACTAATACTGCTGAGAGGTACATACAGATATTTTACACTAATACTGCTGAGAGGTACATACAGATATTTCGAAGTTACTCAAAAGTTATTTTTTGGAGAACATAAAATTTCAGAACAGATGTCTTAAATATATAATAAGCATAATGAATAGTAAAATGAGCAGTATAATTATATACTTTAGAAATTATAATTGAGCAAGCATGGATTACAAATATTAAAGAATCCAGTGACTTAAACACCTTGAGAAGTTTTTCAAATATCTTTTGAGTTTCATGGCCAAAATATTAATTATTTTTATTGCAGTGCCGGTTTTTGTGTGAAAATAACATGCCTGTTGTATGCACAGTTCTTGGAATAAATTTAATGATGCAAATTCTTAATTGTGTATTTTTTTTACAAGTTTCACTGAAATGAGTCCTTTATCATCTTATTAACCTCCACTGATCTTGGTATGCCCACTGTCCTTTCTTCCCACATATCTTGCATGCTGCAGTAAGAAGTAATATTTCTAAAACCTAAATCTGTGTCATGGTGTCATGTGCCTGCTTAAAAATATGTGGTGGCTTCCAATTGCCCATAACAGTGGGTTTCCGGCCTTTTTTTGTTAAGCTGCAGAACTCATTCTTCAAAAGAAGTCTCAAATACAGAATCTAGATGGGTGAAACAGGTCATAACAATATTGCAGGGGTAAAGTCTCCCTATAAATATGTTCCTTTTGCCAGTTCCTGAAAGGACTTTGCAGAATATGGTAATTTACAAACCACTTTCATTTAAAGTTTTATAAACTCCTTAATATATATATGAGACTGTCCATGAGCTGGCAACAGGCTTACCTTGTCCTCTTAGTGCTGTCCAGTAGAACTCTGCAATGATAAAAATAATTGTGTCCACACTGTCCTATATGGTACACTTCAGACTTGTGGTTATTGAGTACTTGAAATATGACAACTGAATTTCTAATCTTATTTAATGTTAATTTAAATTTAAATAGGCACATGTGCCTAGTGACTACTGTCTTAGCACATCTCTATTCGTTGCACTGTATAACCCTGTCCTCAGTATAGACCATACTTGTCTCTTGGCCTTTCCTTATATTCTTTGAATCCCTATAGGCGGAACCAGTCCTTTTTCTACTTTGTTTTAATTGAGCTTAGCAGCTTTACTAATTATTAAAAATCCAGTTGGGTAATTAGAATAAAAATTCTCCAAGGAAAGATTTTATTCTTTTATTATATTCTTATTAGTTTTCCTTCCCCAAGTATCAAGAATCGTACCTGACACACAGTAAACATTGAATAATGATGTTTGAATGAATAAATAATGAATCTGGTGTGCACATAAAAATAATAGTCTGAATAGGTATATTTTAGGTATCTGTTAAAGCATCAAAAATAATTAGTAATTCTTTGTCTTAACCACCTATTATTGGAAAAAGGAATTATGACAGTAAAGGATAGACAGTACTGCACTGAATTTAATGGCCATTTTGGTCAGGAGTAATCCTCGATTGGTTATTGCTTTTAAGACTTTTTATATTACCTGGTTATCAGTTCTTTTTGAGAATGGCAGGATCTTGGCAGATCATACAGAAGATCTGTTTTCCGTTAAGAGCATTGGGTTGTGAATATGAGAAACATTTAGTGTTTGTACTATCACAGGTGTGACTTTGCAGGTGTAGTGGGTATATCTGCATCATGTTCTTTGAAATGTATTTTTAAAAAATAATCCTACAAAGAGACTTGCTGAACTTAGAAATATGGGCAGGAAATACACCAGAATGCAACTTGGAAAAATGGAAGCTAATAAATCTGTCCTACACCTCGACTTCATTAAAAAGAGTGCTTAAAAAAAAAAAAATGCTTTTTTTTTTCTTTTTTATTCAGTTAATACCATCTTTTCTGGCTACATTTTGATACCTGATGCTTTTCAGGGGAGTTGGGCTTTTGTAAGAGTTGAGCCTTTCAGAGTTCTTGTTTGTGGCACCATAATAAAATAAGATATATTAATTTATGATGGAAAACTAGAAGCTCATCTGGAAACACCAAGTATTTAGGTAAAATGAACTGCCATTTGGAAGATGTCCTTCCCACCTGTGTTAGGTGGAATCGAGGACTAATAGCTATAGTGTGACTAGTTGGATTTTGAAGATTATTAAAACTTTCTGTTCTGCTGACTTTTGTTACATTGATACTTATTCTCACCCTTAGCAAAATATTCATAGAAGGATAAAATGTGCCAGGTAATGGACTCATTGAGCTGGAAACCCATTTTCATGTTGGTTTCTGGCTTCATCTTTGGAAATGTTGACTTCTATTTCAAGCAACTTGTTCTGAAAAGAAGTGAGATTATAACTCTTCTATCTCAACTCTACCCAGTAGAGTAACAATTTTTTTAGGAGGTTCCCAGTAGCATTTATCTGGGATGGGGATCTCAGGGCGTAAACACACCACCACTTTGGGTTTGATTAACAGCTCCACCACTCAGTTCTCCCTGACACATGGGCAAGATACTTCACCACCCCTCAGCTTCTGTTTTCTTGGCTTTGTCACTGAGATAATCCTTTAAAGGATTGCCCAGTGAATAAATTAGCAGAGTATATAAAGCATTTAGCAAAGTGCCTGGCACATGATGGGCACTCATCCCTTTCCCCTTCCCCAGTGCACCTGATCATTACTATTAATAGTAACAGCAATTAGTAACAGTAATGTTCACAAGAGTACATATGATGGAAACAAAACTAAACCAAGGGTCAGCAAACTTTTTATGAAAGTCCAGACTGTAAATATTTAAAGTTACTAGGCCATATACAATCTGTTATATGTTCTTTTTTTTTTCTTTTACAACCTTCAAAAATGTAAAAACCATTCTTAGCTCATGCAAGCCATACCATTATACTGATGCAACAGTCTAATGGACTTTTTTTTGTCTTTCAGGCACTGCATGGTAGCAGTTCTTGTGTGTACTGTAATTCAAGTTTCTTAATTTGGCTCCTGTTGTTTCTCCATACCATTTCTAATCTTGTATGACTATTTGTTTGCAGACCCAGGAAGTCTAGAGAATGTATTTTTTAAATCTCTCTTTTCAGCTATCGATTCTGGTATGAGGAAATCATAGTTATCCGCCTTCATCTCTCTCCCCTCACAAACCTGCTGGGCCTGGCCTGAGATCTGAGAGAATCTCTATTTGAATATTTAATTGATTCCAAATGTCCTAAGGAAGGCTGAAGAGAGAACATGTTACTAATCACCCTTCAGGAGCTTGGCCCCCACAGACAGCTTCAGATGTTTCTTTCACAAAGCTTATCTGGACAATAGGGAGTTAAATTAGTTACAGGTTAACATGGAGGAAGGTAGTTTATGCCTAAAGGAAAGTTAGGTGGAATGCTCCTTTTTATGCAGACAGTAAGGAAGAGTTTTTGCGAAATTAGATGTTTAACCCAAGTACAGAGAATCACCTTTAACAAACCATTGCCTAACGGACTTACTACAATAATTCCTTTTTTTTTTTTTTTTTTTTGGAAAACGTACTGACACCCCATCGCATGCAAATGCTCTAAGCTGGTAGGCTACCCTCCAGCACACCCTAGGCACCGTCAGTCTCACCTGTTGCGTCATATATTTAGGAAGAGAGTTGTGCAGCTTTCAGTTATTCACTTAACAAATATTCATTGAATGCCTATTATGTGCCAGGCATTATTCTAGGCTTTGGGGACGCAGGAGGCAACAAGGAAAACCCAACCAAACCTGTGTGTGTGTTAGCTGTGCTTGTTATTAACCATCATACAAGTTATTCATCATAATACAAACCAATGAAATACGAGTACAAAGAAAAAGAATTTCTGTGAAAAGTAAGCTGAGTGCTTTCTAAAAACTAAACGAAGGCAAATCACTAGAAACACTATTGAATAAAGTTTCATAACAACCGTCAAATACTAAAAATAGATACAGCAAAAATCTAAAAGGTGTCTATTTAGTGCTTTACAAGTGACTTTAAACTTTGACTCCATTTTAAAGATACAAAACCGGGAAATAATAGACTATACTGCTTAAGTGAGTATAATGCAAGAAGATGGAATTCCAAGTGAACTCATATTCAAAAAAAAAAAAAAAAAAAACAGAGAAAAGCCCTTAGCCTTGCATCAGAAGATAGGCAAATGAATGAATGTGCCATATGTTTCAAGTTCAGATAATAAATCCCGGGTGCATATGATTCATCTTTATGATTTCCTTCTTTAATCAACTTGTTCACGTAACCAACCAATTCTAAATAAGAGGGCTAATACCATATAAAATAGAGCTATCACTGACATCAGAAAAGTTTCAGTTTGGAGGAATTGACAATAAATGTGCTCTGCATAGTGAGTCATATTTTCCCAAAGGCTCCTCATCTAAATTTGAGATATACATATTTTTAGTGCCCCAATATACCTAATTGATTATTGGATTTAACTGTTTTTGCAGCCTAAGATTTATTTTCATCATCAACCCCGTGTTTGTTTCTCTTCTTCATTTAAAGCTCCTACTAATGGTGTTAAATAGGTAAGTTCCTGAATATTTAAGTGATTTTTTTTTTCAGTATGTCATTTTACCTTTAGAAGTTGCCATGTTACATATGACATATGACAACCTGGTCTGTCCTCAGTTGCAAGTTTTAAAGTCTCTTCAAAAAACAACAACAAAAAAGAAGATGCTGACTTCCTTTATAAATTCTGACTTAAAAAAATACTTGTACCTTTTTTTTTTCTTCAAGGGGGTATACCCCATAGTCTAGATAGTTATCCAGTTATTAGCAGGATGGTTTTAAATCCTAATGGTAACTTTTCTGCTACTATAAGAGAGGTGAGATGAATGAGTAAATATGAGTTTAAGTTGTAAATATACTCAAAAGATCATTATCTGTACAGACCTACATATAGTGTTGGCATTTTAGGAATATCTTTAAATTGTACACATGGTTTGAGGAAATGCTGAGCACAGAGAAATACATAATCATTATTAGTTTGTGAAAAAAGCAAAGCAAGTTTCTGCCACCAACCCATGAAAGCACAGGAAATGGCTTCATGTAGTAGGTGTTGGAGTCTGAGCATTCTGTTGACAGAAGCGGGTTCTACCCAGGGGTTTTGTGTTAATGTAATCAAACACTTCAGAGCTGCAGCCTAGCAAGCTCAAGTCCACCCACCTCAGAGTTTATCTTTAGCTCATCTGGAAGAGTTTATTTTAAACACTGAACATTGTTTGCTGCTGTTGAAATGAAAGTGAGAGAGTTACAAGCTTTCTTCCACTGCCATCTGGCAGATTTACTGATGGATCGGGTTCTTTAATCCATGTAGCCCCGTGTGTGGGAGCTATTGTCTTTGTGTTGATCATGCAGCTGGCTTGGCTGAACTTTAAAAAGCTCACACAAAGCTATCAAGAGCCATCCTATAGATAAATGAAGTTGGGGGTGTTGCAAAAGTCAATGGAGCCTTTTGCAGGAGGGCGGAGAAGGCTTGGAGGTATACTTTTCATTCTCCTCTGAACATATACTTTAAAATCTATAGCTCTCTTTGTGACCCGTAAAAGAGGAAGAAAACCATATCGGAATATTTTAAAAGAAATAATTGAAGCTACAAAGAAGTGACTATAGCTAAATTAGAAAAGTATGCAGCAGAGTAGAATGGAAAGGAACAGCAGATTTAGGGGGGTCTATAACTCATTACAGTAAATGTGGGATCGCGAGGAGTCAAATGAGTGTACTCTTCAGTGGGGATTTGTCCTGTTTTTGTTTTTGTTTTTGCACTACATGTCATATTGGGACAGTCAAAAATACACACATCACGTACCTAATCCTTAGCTATAGGCTTTTGGGGGTATGGAACGATGTAGGATCTCACTCAGTACATTACATTGAGTATAATTCATGACTAGTTCCAGTGCATAATTCTTACCATAACCGCAAATGCATACACATGCATTAAGAGATTGCATGTGGGCTATGTGCAAAGGAGGATACCTTCAATATACCCTATATTAAGTTTATAAGAGCACAAGAAGACATAGGAAATATCTTGGATATGTTCGATTGGCGTTCAGTTTTCTTTCCTAACAATGAAAACAAGGAACTACATGGCACACATTCTGGATGGAAACCAGTCTCCTACAAATAGGTGCCCTAGCATGAGATTTGGAAGGGAGGATTAAAAGGAGGCCTTCTCTCTACTGTTTTTGGCTATCTTCTGGTAGTCCTGGAAACAGAGTTGCTTCTTTTATTCAGTTTTGGTTTTCTTGTTTCGTTTTGTGTTTTGATGATAAGAGGCAATTGAGGTAGACCCTGTAGTTCTGTGTCCTCTCGCTTCTCCCTGGGTGTTGAGAGGAGGTTACAGTGGTAGCAGCATCCTGATTCTGGTTTCCCGATCCCAGAATCAGAGCGGTGTCTCCTAACTAAGCGTTTCTGTCAGCATCCTCCAGGTCCCCACCTTCCTGACCACGGCAGAAGGAGCAGCTTCCTCTTACAGGTCAGCTCTGTAGTACTTCAGCGTTCGTTCTTCTTACTATAACCTAACCCACTCTTTCAGCCCTTCTCATGATTTTGTAGTTGGGTACAAACTTTGTTGTAGGTTGGAGTCTGAGCAAAATCACATGATTTCGTAGTTGTAGGTAACTACAACTTTACCATATTCTATCCCTTTCTCCTTAAAATATCTGGGAGGATTCTGTTTCCTATTTAAGAAACAACAACAACAACAAAACAGATTAATAGGATGACTGACCAGAGAGAAGAAGCATAACGTTTCAAATAAAAACCACCTTGCCAATGAGCAAGCAATGGCAGAGACAGAAGATACAAAGAAATTGAGCATTACAGCTTGAAAGGGTGGAGGCTGAGGAAGGAGAGGCCAGCCATAATGGTATTTCTTTGGTGAAATCACTAACCTACAACGCTTGGGCCCTAGCTTAGCAGCTTCACATATTTGAACTCATCAAAATGTCAGTTGACAATGTGAAACTACCAAAGGAACTGGAAACCTACCAAAGAAATTTGGGTAGCACACAGTATCCCAGTGAGGAGATCCATGTGGGGAACCAAATTATAGCCAGAAATTTGATTAGCTTTATAGGGTCAGAGAGAGGAAGTTCATTCTGTCGGAGGTTGAACGTTTGGTGACATTAGCAGTGATACCCGTATTAGGTGAATTCATAAGCAAGTGCTTTATGTGCTGGATGATCATGGTTCTTGAAGTGGGCCTTGTAAGGATGTGTTCTGTTGTTGCCGACTATGCCACCTTCTAAGCGACGTTTTCTTTTTTTAAATATGTGTTTATCACCTAAATATTGCTGCTAGTCTGCCTCAGGAAACATTTCTCCACTATTATACCCCACAGAGAAGTAAAAGGGGCCAAGTGAATTAGCCACACTCAGAGACACAGGTAGGGGTAAAGGAATATATTATTCATAGTTGGAAAGGCTGACATGTGAGAGAGTATCTGTGAATCTTTCCTAATATGAAATTTCTGGTGAACAGATTAATTTATCACAGCTGTTTTCCATTTAGGAAAAATGTAATAAATACTAGGCTTCCTTCAGCAGGCAATTTGATTAAGATTGTAGAATGACGTGTGATGGATAATCCTGTATAAGTGTTTTGGGCAGTGTGAATGGATTAGAAAGACATTCATAACTGAAACCCTGGCTACCCTAGGAATATTTATTTCTATTTATCTGCTGCAAATCAAGTCAGAGAATTAAAGGTAAGAGGGGACTCAAAGGCTAGATGTGAGTTTTTAAGAAGCAGACTATAGTGCATTGAAGGCAAGAACATGTTTGAACATTTTCTGCTTCCTGCTAACATCTGGCACGGGGCTATAATATATCAGTTACTCACAAGATATTAGATTGATTATTTAATTGGTTATTTAATGACCAAAAACTAAGGTGTCTACCATCCTATTGATGGCCAGGTGAGATGGAGCCTATTTAACTGGACTGACAGATAGTCTCTTCCTACACCTTGGAGAATAAGCTCAACCTTCACAGGGAGCAGAGGGCTCTTTTAGCTTGTGACAGAAATGCTGGATTATCCTGTACACTCTTACTCAAAACATGGAATGATACATATGAAAGAGCCTTGAGTAAGTGTGCCATCATTTTTGACAGCTATAGTCAATAGTAATTGGGACTTCATAGGAAGGAAAATAGAATGTCAAACAAAGAAAGCTCACAGGCTAGGGGCACCTGGGTGGCTCAGTTGGTTAAGCCACTGCCTTTGGCTCAGGTCATGATCCTGGAGTCCCTGGATCGAGTTCCGCATCGGACTCCCTGCTCGGCAGGGAGTCTGCTTCTCCCTCTGACCCTCCCCCCATCTCATGTGCTTTCTCTCTCTCTCATTCTCTCTCTCTCAAATAAATAAATAAAAATCTTTAAAAGAAATAAAAAAATAATAAAAAATAATAAGAAAAAGAAAGCTCACAGTCTAAAAATATTTAATCCTCCCACAGATTCCCCTAGAAACATCTATATAGTTCATTCGAATTATTGACTAGTGCCTTACAGTTCTTTCTGCAGATTCCTCTGGATTCCAGTAAATAGTCTGCCTTCAGTTGATGAGAGAGGATTTGCCAAAACTAACACAATTAATTCTGCTACAAACAGTTTGTATTTACTGTGGCTCATAATTAATTTTCAAATAAGTATATGTGCATGAAAAAAAAATAAAGAGGGCTTATTTTCTTTTTAAAATAATGTCACCATTCTTGCAAATCCCTAAGATCATCAATTCATAGGACAAAATAGGAGATGTGATTAAACTCACTAGAGAAAGTTCTTTCTAGAATAATTATTATTTATGTGAGATATTTCACATATATTATCTCTAATCCTTGTAACAACACTGTGAGGGAATCTTAGTCCTAATTTGCAGATAAGGGAAGAGAGTTTCAGAAAGTCTAAGTGATTTGCCTCGAAACTGATAGGCCCAGGCTTTGAACCAAAATTTTTCAGATTTTAGAAGCTTTGGCTCCTTCCTACCAGTGTACACTTCTTTTAGTGAACTAAAATAAGGTCCATAGAAAAACTTAAAATTGTCTCTAAAACCAAAATAATAGTAGATATTTCATTTTCATATTTATAATTATTGTTTTTCTCAGTCTGTTCCTTTAATATATTCATTTTCTAGAGTAGATAATATTTTAAATATGGTTACTTCTGCCTGATGGGTCAAGAATGTGTTAATTTTTTTTCATTGACTACTATATTTAGTTTCTCTGTCAACACGAGTTAATTGAAAAGGTTTCTGCATAATATCCCTAAGTGTAAATTATTTATCAGGGTGGTTAAAAAAAACAGTGCCCCATCCAGAGTGTTGGTTTCCTGCCAAAGGGATATATATCATCTTTCATGGGTTTGCTGAAATTGCACAAACAATCAAATGTCTGAGTTAAATCATAATGCAATGATCAAAAGAGCTGTATTACTGTACTTTATAGTAAATGCATCCATTTCTTTTGAAATAAAGCAGTTTTAACTCTCCAACATCTGCTGAAAATTCAGAGATTATACACACCCAATTAGTGAAAATCCTCTAAAGAGTTCAAACACTTAGAATAGTTTTCCCACTTTGCAATTGATAACACATTTGATATATCAATATTATTTCATGTAAAATTTTCTGAATAAAGTAAGAGGTGACAAGGAAAATACTTTTTGTGTTTCATTTTCAAAAAGATTATTTGAGGGAACTTTGGCTTCTGGAAATGACAGTGTAGGTTACTTAGACGAATACTTAAGGGCAAATGACAATTCTGGATAAAAATAGAAAAAATATGCAAACAAGGTGGTGAGAAATTTTAGATCAAAATCAGGCAAACATGAAGTAAGAATCCTAGAAGTTAAGAGAGAAGGCAAAATTACCTTTGCCCAGAGGATATTTGTCTCCTTAGCAGAATCAATGATGAATGTGAAGTTTTGTTATGCTTGTCCAGAACCTGAAGGAGGATAAAAGTGAAAGTGTGCACAAAATCTGGGATTCGGTACACACTCACACAAATTCACATTAAGCTGGGATTCGGAAGGACTCCACACTCATGGTAAGTAGGAGCAAGAACTAACGTTGAATTATTCTCCCACCTGTCCCATGGAACAGGGGAGTTGTTTTCCCACTGAGCGGAAGAGGGAGCATATAAAAGAAGAGAAAACCCATCACTGGAAGGAAGGCTAAGCCCTAGTCCCCAGGCAGAAGTTCACATTGATTTCACCAGAGCAATCCAAGGTAAGCTCAAACCATCAATTTGGCCTAAAGTCATTTAGGATTGGCAGTGCCCTAGATGACCAGCAGAAGGGACCTTCATAAAAGGGCTGGGACAATCTCCATAATTAATTTTTTTTCAAAGTCGATAAGTAGCTAAGGTACACGCACCCGTACCATGAGTAAGAATAAGCAGCACTGATCCAAGAATTTCAGATATGGGAATTATCAGACATAGATGATGTAATAACTATGTTTACTGTGCTCAGAAAAATAAAAATGAGCTTGAAAGTTTCATCAGAGAAACTACAAAAGTGACAACTTTTAGAACTATGTAACACTTCTAGAAATGAATTTATTGGTATATTTTTTGAGGAGAGGGAGAGGGGAGAGAGAATCTCAAGCAGGCTCCACGCTCTGAACAGAGCCTAATGTGAGAACCCGACCTGATCCAAAACAGAGTCAGATGCTTAATCGACTGAGCCATCCAGGCGCCCCTAAAAATATATTATTTTCTATCAACCACATTTCTTGATCTTTCCCCTAAAATGTCCATCCTTATGTCTCCCTTTGCAGTTTCCTGCATTATTTCTTCTTATCTGTCTCTTTAGTTTATTACTTCTCTCTTCTGCTATGTTCAATCAGCAGCACATCCACTTTCTGAATTTTTCATTTGTTAGAATTTTGTTATAAATTATATTTGTTATAACTTGCACACACCCATGCTCGCTCTCTCAAAAAAAATATATTTTTATTGGAGTTACAGAAAGAACACAAAGAGAGATAGGGACAGAGGCAAACTTTGAAGAGATGGTGACAGAGAATTTTCCAGAACTGATGAAAAACAATACTCCACAACTTCAACAAGCCTAACTCTAAAAGGAGTACTACAAAGGCACACACTGAAAACTTAGGTCCACACAACAAACTGCACAACAGATATTTAGAGCAGCCTTACTCCTGAGTGCCAAAACTTTGAAGCAATCAAGATGTACTTCAGTAGGTAAATGGTCAAGTAAACTGTGGTACATCCAAACAATGTAATGTTACTGAGCACTAAAAAGAAATGAGATCTCAAGCCACAGGAAGACACAGAGGGACCTTCAGTGGATATTGTTAAGTGAAAGACGTCAATCTGGAAAGGCCACATCCGAAATATATACCCATGTGAAAGATATGTAATGGACTGAATGCAACTAACTGCCAACCTAGAATTCCACACTCAAAGTATAGATCCAGAAGGGTTGTAAAATAAAAACGTGAACAAACATAAACATACCAAAATGGAGAGGACCACCACAGCTGAACCCCATAGAGGACATTCTAAACAATTCACTTCAGGCACAAGGAAAGTAATTCCAGATGAAAGTCCTGAGGAGATAAGACCAAAGAAAATATTAAGTATAAAATGGATAATTATATTAGAAAATAAGAATTCTAGGAACATTTATTGTATAAAGATAATAACTTGAAAGATAGGCTTAATATACCTGATAAGATTTAAGCAGAAATCAGGAATGCGTGAGCTGAGTTAAAGTGTACTAAAGGTTTTCCATTATCCAGGAGTAAGATTAAAAAGACAAGATTGGTATTAAAGGATGCATGGTGCACTACAGAATAATCACTGAAATACTTTTTAAAAGTCATAATCTCCAAACTAATACAGCAGGGGACACACACACACACACACACACACACACACACACACACACACACCCCAGAATAAAAATCATCTTTCTAGGAGCGCCTGGCTGGCTCAGTTAGAAGAGCATCCAAAAGACTCTTGATCTCAGGGTTGTGAGTTTGAACCCCATGTTGCATGTAGAGATTACTTAAATAAATAAAAAGTTAAATCTGAAAAACAAACGAGGGTTCTAGAGGGGAGGGGGGTGGGAGGATGGGTTAGCCTGGTGATGGGTATTAAAGAGGGCACGTTCTGTGTGCAGCATTGGTGGTATAGTGGTGAGCATAGCTGCCTTCCAAAAAGGGCACGTTCTGCATGGAGCACTGGGTGTTATACGCAAATAATGAATCATGGAACACTACATCAAAAACTAATGATGTAATGTATGGTGATTAACATAATGTAATAAAAAATATTGAAAATAAAAAAAATAATCTTTTAAAAAGAAGATTAGAAATAAGAAAAAGAGTAGAAAACGTGAGACAAATATAGGACACAAAATAATATAGTAGATTTAACCCAAAATGTATAGTTATAATAAATGTAAGTGATCAAATACTCTTGTAACAAAAACAAAGATTTTTAGACTGTTTTTTTAATGTAGTTATGCACTGTTTCAAGAGATACATCTTAAATGTAACTATAAAGATATTGAAAGCAAAAGAAAGTAAAAAGATGCATCAAAAATAAAAAAGGGTCACCAAATGAAAACTGACATAACTCTAATGTAAAACTTAACCCCCAAAAAATCATTATAGGTAAAGAAGGTCACTTCATAATGATAAAGGTTTTAATTCACCAGGAAGATATGACAGTTTTTTCAAACATTGCATGAACCTAATTGTATGAAAATTCAAAATTATAGAGCCTCAAAATATACAAAGCAAAAAGCAGAAAAGCATACCTACTGTCATAGTGCTTTTCTTTTTTTTAACACATATCACTCAGTAGTTGATACAGAAAGCTGACCAAATGTCAGTGGCCTGCAGGAGATTTGAACAATAATTTGATTAACAAAGTTAATTTAATGGACAGCTACAAAACACTGCACTCAACAGTTGAATAATGCATGAACTTTCAAGCATATGCAGAAGAATTTCAAAGTGCTTTTATATTGGGGTATAAAGCAAGTTTTGATATATCTCATGAATTTGAGATCATATAGAATGTATTCACCAGGGGCGCCTGCGTGGCTCAGTTGTTAAGCATCTGCCTTCGGCTCAGGTCATGATACCGGGGTCCTGGGATCGAGCCCCATATCCGGCTCCCTGCTCAGTGGGAGGCCTGCTTCTCCCTCTCCCACTCCCTCTGCTTGTGTTCCCTCTCTCACTGTGTCTCTGTCAAATAAATAAAATCTTAAAAAAAAAGAATGTATTCCCCAATCACAATGCAGTTAAAATAAACATCAGGAACTAAATAATAATCAGAAATTCTCTTACATTTCAAAATTAAGAAATATACTTCTAAATTATCAATGGATCAAATGAGAAATCAATATAGAAATTTTTAAATATTTTGAAAAAATGATAATGAAATTATAGCCTTGAATGAATATATTAAATATATTAAAAATAGAGAATAGTTAAAAATAGACAAAAATAGAGAATAATTGGGAATCAATGCATTCATTTCTAGAGGCTAAAGAAAGTACAGCAAATATTAGCTCAAGGAAAGTGAAAAAAATTAAACATAAGAGCAGATAGTGAATGAAATAGAAAATAAATTTATAATAGAGAAAATCAACAATGCTGGATCTTCGAAAAGATTCATGAAACTGGCCTACCTTTTGTAGAGAAGACACAAATAAACAAAAAAATGTCACTTAGAGCCCTTCAAGTGCTCACAGAATCTTCAAGATCTTTCCTACTTTCACTAATTATGTCTGTGAGGCTCTTCCAAGTTCCGCCTGTTATCTAGTCCCCAAAACCACATGACCTTTATATGTAGTTATTTATTTTATGCCATTCCACTTCTAGGTACCAAAATTTCTTCTGCTTCTCCATTGCTGTGAAACAAAATGCTCTAGAACTTAGTTACTTAAAATAATAGAAACCACGCATTTTGCTCATGATTTGGCAATTTGAAACTGGGCTCTGCGTGGGGGGCTCATCCCCTTTCCTCTTGGCATTAGCTGGGACCCGAGCTGGTTTGGGGGTATGCAGTACATGTAGGTGCAGAGGGCCTCATGCTCATAAGAGGGCCCATGGTTGGGTTTAAATGCTCTGTAGTCTCTTTCTTCAACTTCTTAATAATTTTATCTTTGAATTTGTGTTTTATAAGTGAAATCTGATGGGACAATGAAGCGTATGGGAAAGGCTTTGGAGCCTAAGGCTGCATGTAGCTTAGCCTCTGCCACCTCCCAGCATCCTGAGGAGAGTTACTAGCTGCCCGGCTGTTGCCTCCAGCAGGTACCCACCTGAACCAACCCTATTCTCGCAGGGTGCCCAGGTACCTTTGGGGGTCTGCACTCACTTGGCATTTTCCCTGTGCCAAAGGACACATGATATTAAATAGCAAACAACAACAACAACAGTAAAAATCCATAACAGGTCAACCAAGATGCCTTAAGTAGAAGAAAAAAAGGTTTTCTCCTACTTTAAGAACATGGTCTCTGAATTTTCAGTTGCACCAGGCCCTACAAATTATGTAGCCGGACCAAACTGGGCAACATGTCTGAAATGGAAGATCCACCTCCAAGAGAATTCATTCACATGGCTGGTTAGTTGGCGCTGGCTGCTCAGCCAGGACTGTTGGGTGGGGGGCGTGGTTCCTCTCCTTGTGCACCTCTCCATTTGATGGCTTGGACTGCTAATAACATGGCATCTGGGTTTCAAGTGGCAGCTGCTCTTTCCTAAGGCCTGGGCCTGGAAATCTGCATAATATAGCATTGCTTTTGTCAGATCCTATTAGTTACACTAATGATAGATCCCATCAGACTTGAGGGGAAAGAGCATAAAACCCACCTTTCAGACGGAAGAGCTTCAAATCGTTTGTTCGTCTGTGATTTGCTATACACATATGTGAGTGGTAAAACAATACAGCAAACTAAGGAACTGAGCATCTCAGAAGGCAGGATAGTGAATAACTATAGGAGGGAGTGGGAATGTTGTGATCCAGGTGTCTGGGGTGCTGGGAATGTTCTGTCTCTTGAGTGGTTTGGTAGAGGCACTTTAAACTATTTGCATATGTGTTATGCTTTTTGTTTGTTTGTTTTTGGTATATATGTTATTTTTTAAGTAAAAAGTAAAAAGGAAAGTAATTGAATTTAGAGCTAAGGTGATAGCTTTAATATTAAAACCATTGCTAAGTCACATTTGTATCCTAGAAATGCATCTTTTTCCTAAAGTAATTGTAAATGAAATAAAACCTCATCATTTAGGCTTAATTAATTGAGATTTGGAAATAGCCTGTTTGAAGATGAAATGAGTTGCCTTCACATTCTCTGAGGACAAAGCGTATCAAGCAAATGAACATGCAATGCAGGGTTTCACCTGGTCAAGAGAAATTGTTTCCAAACATGTAAATAATTGACATATCTAATGATCATCATATTTCATTTAAGGTTTGTCTTCTATGGACATGTATATATTTGAAACAGAATTTGTAGTTTATAAATAATGATCCATATTAGCCCTTCTGACAAATCTGAATCATTTTTCCATGATAATCTACTACCCTGCCTAGAGTAACTTAAATTATAGTATTCTGAAAATTAAAACTCAGATTATTTTTATTTATAGATATATCAGAATGATTGCAAGTATTACAGACAATGTCTCTAAAATTTATAATCCATCTATGTTAACATTCCCTAATTTCTGACTATCCCCAAATACAATTTTATATGTCTTTTGCACATCACAAGAAAGTTTCCCCGGGAAGCAGATTCTGAAGTAGAGATATTCATGCAAGTGGCTTATTGTAGAGTGCTTATTTCATATAAAGAGATAAGGAAAACAAGGTTGGGTATTGGAAGAAGTTTGAGAACTTACTTGGATATGGACTGCATTTCATCAATATTCTTAAAAAATTGTTCGAAATCTTTTTTGAAAAGGAAGAAATAAATCAACATAAATCTCAGAATACTAACACATTTGAGATTAAATTGTCAAGTAGTGGATATTCATTTATTTGTTGGTGTTTGTTGAATGAATGAACAAAATGAGTGCTGAAAGCAAACAACTTATAACCTCAATCATATGCTCATTGGGCTTAAGCTCATTATCTCTGTATTCAGTTGTAAATTTAAATATATATATAGGATATATATAGGGGTATATATATTTATATATATAGGGATATATATAGGATATATATATTTATATAGATATAGGGATATAAACAAAATACTAAAAATATTACTCTTAAGATTGTACCAAAACAGGTCCAATTAAGGATTTTGTCACTTATAATTATCTGGGATCAGCTATTTCTTATAATACATCTATATTGATTGTTCAGCCTAAATATAGCTGACTTTCATACACCTCCAAGAAACATATCATGTACGGAAATAGCCACGTGATTTAACCTTTGTCTTTTGATCTTCACAAGACTTTGTGAGGCCAGTATCATTAGCCCCTTCTAGGGATGAAGAAACCGAGTCTCGGAGGTATGCAGTGGCAGCTAATGAACAGTCTCAGGCTTCCCTTACCTGCCACCGTCCTTCAGCCTCACACACATTTAGGCCTTTCCTTCAGCAGATCCACGAATCTCTGTCAATGTGATCCAATAAATCTTAAGATGAGACTTACCTGTTTCTGGGTTAGTTTTACTTTTTTAAAAAGGCTCTGAAAGACCCAGTGGAATGATTATGATGTCCCAGGAGATCGTCAAGAACTGTAAATTAAACTAGGAAAGGTGGGTGGCTACTCCTGAATCCCATCCATCGATGCATGAATCCCAGTTGCCAGGGGAAAAAAAAAAATCTTGTCTGGGAGAAAAAGGCTCTGGCCTCTTCTGAATAGTGGGAAACCTTTTGCAACTGATCACCATCATCTTAAAGGGCTTCCAGAACGGCATAATACCCCAGAATTAAATAAATTACACGTGTGGTTATGAGCAAGTTAAGTACTTATTTATCCACATCATTAGTCATCGAAATTCTTGTAGGGAGTAACAGCCAGCCCCACAGGTCAGCCACTTCATGTTTCCTCAACACTTCCACTGTTTTTTAAACACCCGCTCCTTGATTTATGGCCGTACTGTGGCCTCAGCCTGGGCCTAATAACACAGTACGTACCACCCCTGATCAGAGTGACACACACATTCCCTCGCACCCATGTAAGTCATCCCATATGTGGGCCCTCGCCTTTTATTCTGCTATCTGGAAGTTCATGCAAACAGGTGACCGGCCTTGCAAGCCAAGGACCTTCACTTCAGCATGAAGACTTTCAGCAAACGATACTTACTCCTTGGCTAACGTCAGCCACTCAGTATTCTTGAAGCTTTTTTGGCTGCTGGCTTCTTTTCCTCCAAAGGGACCACTCACTCCTGCTGGGTATGCTTCCCCTTGTTTTCACCCTCCACAGGCAGGGGATTGTTTTTCACTTCCTTCATAAAATCACTAGCCGTGTGATGAACCCCAGATCACATGCCACCTCGACAGGAAGTCCTTCCCACCCCCACATCCTTTCGGGCCCTGAACACACTACTGTTAAGTCACGTCTGTCTCTAGGTCAGGCCCATGTGCATCTCTATGCCTGGCATGTATTAGGCATCCAGAAAAATTCTACTGTTTCTGAGTATCTATTATGTTCCAGCTACTGTGCTGGGTGCTGGCAATACATTGATGAATAAGACCAATTTTTGCCCGTGAAGATACTCCCAGTCTAGCAGGTATAGATAAATACATGCTTACAAAGGAGCTAAATTCTAAGTGATTGGATCTGTGATAAAGAGCTCCTAGGACGACCAACAGCAGCAAGTGGGAAAGCTTTGGTTAAGCATGTGGTTTTGTGTCGGCCTGGGAAGCGTGGGTTACTCAGGGAAGAAGGGACAGAAGATCACAGCAGTGGGAAAAGCACAGGCTGAGGCACAGGGACTTGGCCGTGGTGTGGCAGGAGGGTGGACACTAAGAAAGACATGGGAGAGACAGATGAGGCAAGGGTCATGAATGTGTGAAGGGCAAGTGAGGGGGACGGAAAGGCAACCCAGGCCTCTACCGTGGGACATCACTGGAGTCTTCTTAGCCGATCAGTGGCCCAGCTAGCTCTGTGTTTCAGATAGACTGTGATCACAAGGTCAAAGTAATTAAAGTGGGGGGCGTGGGGCAGACAGACCAGTTACGAGGTTGAAGCTCTGAGTCCAAGCCAGAGCTGGTTAGAAGTGGTAGCTACTCTGGAAGGAGAATTGGCAGCTCGGGGAGATGTGGATGTTGGAAGAGAGCAAGAGAGTGGAGGCGGGGAAGACTTTAAATGGCATAAAATAATTAATCTGACTCTTGAGCACTCAAACACAAGTATCCCGACAGCACTGCCCTCTCCTGAAACGGGCCGAAGGAACTCTGATTACCTCACGTAGAATCCTCTCTCTGGTAGACTTCAGTGAAGTCACGAGGTTCTTCTCAGACCCACCAGAGGAGAGACCAGGGGGTGGCCATTGCCCACGAATGAAGGGTCTGTTTGCCCTGGGGAGGTACAACGTTTTCCACTCACTCACTCATTCTTTCATTCCATTGTTCATCAAACGTTTACACAGCAGCTTTGAACTTTATAAATAAAGTTCACAGAGCATGTCTCATTAAGAGGGTGACATTTACATGATCCAAGTCCTGGGATCTAGCCCCTCCTCGGGCTTCCCGCTCAGCAGGGAGTCTGCTTGTCTCTCTGCCCCTCCCTCCGCTTGTGCTCTCTCCCTCCTCCTCCCTCTCAAATAAATAAATAAAATCTTTAAAAAAAATCCTCTTTTTTCTCAGGCCTAGGTCTCTAGCCTCAGTGAGCTAACTGTTCCCCAAGAGCTGGGCCAGCACCTGCAGAGGGCCTGGTCTGAGGCATAGGGAGGTGGCCGGGGGTGGCGGAGGTGAGGGGTGATAATGGGCGACCCCACTCAATGACAACTGGCTGTTAGGGTCACCTCAAGCCTAGAGGACCTGAAGTGAGTGTCTTCCTGCCTTTTGATGCCTCATCACCTTGGAATGTGGAAGCTGCCTGGCATGCGGGTAAAAGCAATGGTTCTAGGACCAGAGAGCTGGACTTCAGTCTCAGCTCTGCTATCACTACGTGTGTGCTGGGGCCGAGTCTCATGATCTCTCTAAACTTATCTTGTGGGCATGCAAAATGAGTATAAGTGGGACATAAGTAAAATACTCAATGTGGGGCATGGCACACAGGACGGACTCTGAATATTAGCTCTATCTATAAGCACTGAGATTTAAAAGCCCTGAACTCAAGCCCTGTTCTGTCGCTTCTCCATTGTATGGACCTGAGCAAGTAATCCTCCTCTGAGTCTGTAGCATGGGGTTCACGATCCCTGACTATCTTCAAGCATTATTTTGGAGACTATGTGACATCAGAGAGGTGCAAGTACCTTGCCCATTGTCAATGTGCTGTACAAATATATGAGATCCTTCTTGTTACAAAGCAAATAATCTCAAGGAGGTCTTGTACTTTCTTTAGAGCTGGATAAACTGACGAAGGAAAAAATATGCTTCATAGACTTGGCACAGTTGAAGCTGCAGCCAAGAACAGAGCTATTCATCGGCTGGGGCCCCCAAGCTAAAAAATATTTCCCGGGGGGCAGCAGACAGTGGGACCGCCATCTTGGTTTTACTATGAAATGGGTTCCATGAGAGGGTGCTTCCTTGAGACCTGTAAGCACCATCCTCAAGCAAAGTCCCTCTCTGCTGCTACTGAGCTGCCCAAATTTGAGGGCACACTTATGCACTGCCTTTGGTCCAGGAATATGAGGAACCAGACAGGAAGTGGGCAGGAGGTAATGGAGAGAAAGTGAATGTCTGTACGTACACAACAGGACTCCACAGGTGTCAAGACCAAGCTAGTGTGTGTGGAATTCCCTTCAGGACCTAGAGTTACACAAGCATGGAAGGAAACACAAAGTCACAATGATAATGGAAATGACAAAGATTTTTTGAGTAATTATTAAGTCAAGCATTCTGCTAAAGGGGTAAAGGCATTAATCTTCACAATATTTCTATGAGGCCAGTATTGCTATTCTCACTGTACAAATGAGGAAACAATGCCGAGAGTTTATGTGGCTTGTTCAAGATCACACCCTGGTAAAGACAGAGCCCGTATGTCCGACCTATCTGCTTCCAAGCTCTGCAGCACTCCACTGATGGGGGGTGGGGGGTGGGGGGTGGGGAGGGACAGTTCTAGACGGTACCAAGCACAGCAGACAGTGAAAACAGCAGAGGTAGGTTTTCAGAGGCAGGAGAGGTCTTTGTGGATGAGATCTGTCTGGAAAGCTTTCCTGGAGTCAGTCAGAAATGATCTTGGCTGGAGTGTTGGGGAAATATCATAGAAGAGCAGCAGAAAGAAATTAAAACCTGAAACCATCACTATTTGTTCCTTGCTCAGGATGAAAGGGTGAGAGCACTCTTGGGCTTTCGACGTAGCCTATTTGAGGAAGTCACCCTTGACATTTGAAACTGCAAGGACTGCTCCCGCGGGTCAGGTCTGTGGTCTAGTGGGCTCGGAAACGTAATGGAGAAATAGACTAGAGACGGGAATAGGCATTTCCAGAAAAGGCACCCTGAAATGTGATGAACTTGAGAACTCCGCTCATAATCCAAGTAAGAAGATACAAATCCATTTCCACTTGACGAGCAAAAATTAAATGGTCTGATTAGTCAAACATTACCAAAGCTAGTGGAAATGTTTTATACAAACACTCATGCACTGCTGGGGAAAATGTAAAGTGGTCCGTCTACTTTGGAAAGAGAATTGGCAATAATAAGTCATGAAATTAAAAATGAGCATCCTTTTTGGCTCTACGATTCCATTTCCAGATGTTTATTCTAAAGGGCTTCTCAGAGATGTGCACAAGAAAACACGTGCAAGAATATTCATTGCAGCAGTGTTAACAGTGAAAAATTGGAGAACACCCCAACGTCCATCTATAAATAAATAAATACAATGTACTATATATGTAAATTCTATTCATCTGTTAAATAGAATGACCCACAACTAAATATACAAATCTCAAAAACATGTGTTCACTTCCACTTCTGGTTGTGATGCAGTAGCTGCAGCAAACCACTGGTGTAGCTAGGAAGAAGAAAAGTAGATAAAGTAAAAAGACAGCAGAAAGCTACTGAAGCAGCCAAGACTTCCTGGGCTGAGTTGCGCACACAATTTTTTTAAACGCTGTTTTGATACAGCGTGTTTGCCGATTCTTGGTTCAGGGAGAGGGGTGGGGAAGCCTGGTGGAGGGTAGTGGCTAAGAGGCAATCTTAACAGCCTGGGCGGATAAACATTGGAGTTTAGAACTGCCACAGAAGCCAGGGACACCCGGGGCCCCAATTCTGGAGACAGCAGAGACTCAAGAAAGTGACAAAAGTATTCTGTGGTCACCCGACCCTAAGGGTACTGCCATCATGGTATTGTCACAAGAACGGAATAAAATGAGTGTGCCTATTAGGGTGCTTTCTCAGCAGTGATTTTCCCCCAAATAGGCAATGGGGTGTGCTAAATGTGCTAAGAATATAAGAATGGTACATTACTGGAGGATATGTTGCTGGGTAAATCATATATGAAATTTTAATCTTGATTCTAGTCTTCTTTCCCTACTCCTTTCTCTGAAATTCCCCATTATTTTGTGTATTGTATGGTACGGTAGAAAGTCAGATGAATTTAAACATAGTACATGAGGGACGCCTGGGTGGCTCAGTCGGTTAAGCATCTGCCTTTGGCTCAGGTCCTGATCTCAGGGTCCTGGGATCGAGCCCCACATCAGACTTCCTACTCAGCGGGGAGTCTGCTTCTCCCTCTCCCTCTGCACCCCCCACCCTGCTCGTGCTCTCTCTCTCTCAAATACATAAATAAAATCTTTAAAAAATACTAAAATAAACATACTACATGAAATGATCAAAATTCAAAATAACTCTAATCTCCAAAATTTAGAAAAATTGAGAATTGCATAATGAGCACTCGTGATGACTTAGTTATAACCTGGGCTCATGATTGCCGATGACAATGCTATAGTTGTTGGTGCACACAAGTCCCTCCCCTGTCCATTCGGCTGTTTACCCAAAAAGGTGGGGGGAGGGAACTCTTGCCGTCATTTCTTTCACTACTCTGTGTTCTCGTCATTTAATTTTTTTTCTATCTTTTACATCAATTCCATCGAAAGGTGCACTAAGCGGTGGTGATAGTGCTTTTGCTGGGAAACATTCCTGAGAATAAGAACCTTAGAAAATAGCTTGAGATGTGATAAAATACCACAAAGGTGACCAACTATGTGCCAGGATAACCCAAGCAGTTGATTTAGAGTTGATTTAGGAAAACACTAGAGCTAACCCCAAGAAAATAAAAAGCAGCATTCAACAAACATCTTTAAGTTTCCTGAAAGTCTTTAT